CTCACTGACTCTAAATTCGCAAAGTATAATTTAAATGAATTAATTTAATTTAATAAGAGCCATTTTGCTCAGAAAAATATTAAACTATTGCGCAACAAACACTGATTGTACTAACGCATTGCGCGCGGTCACAAAAATTTTCTGAAAGAAAAAAACTGATTAATAGGGGAAGGATACGTTTATTTAGAAGATACTGTTATTTTTCTAGTTTTCTTCTAAGTATAGTTCGAAAACTTTGAATTTGATAGTCTAATACAAGAATATACATCCATTTGACAATATATGTATACCGTTAAGTTAATCTATATCCAAATAAAATATTAATTGATTTAATCTTTTTTTTTCATCTTTGTATTCCAAATAATTACGAAATTATGTACTGTGAATTGTATCTCAAATATATATGAACTGTATGTTAAACCTAAAATGAATAAAATGAATAAAATATTGCTAAATTTCCGTGAATGTTCATCAAATTCCATTAAGCATCGTGGCGTCTGTGCATTCTATGCTGTCTATTGCAACCAAGGAACAATCTGCACAAAAGAAACCCAAAAGTTAGAACAAATATGTTAAATGAAGACAAATATGTAAAAGTGAAACGATAATCAACTTCAAATTCTATTAAAAGAGCGTGTTCGTGTTGTTTTTTACTTCGAGTTTCGAGCTCCAAGGCCTTCTACGTTTCACTCTATTCGAGAACTGAACAATTTCATTATATTACGCAGTAAAATTATTATTTCAACTATTAAATACATACATTCTTAATAAATTATTGTTAATACAATTATTAGAAATAATAGAAGTGTATAATAAACATATAATAAAATATGTGTGTGTATGCATATATATGTATATATAAAACAGTGAGTTAGTCAATTTCAAGGTTACAATATTTCTACTGGTTAGAATTTAAATTAAATTTTGATATAAAATTATAAATAACTTTTAGCATAATATGTTCTATTTAAATGTTTATATGATATTATTTCTTTAATTGTTGAAAATCATGAGTAATAATTATTTGGTTACTTTAATCGCTTACCTTAAGGGATTAAAAATTTACCTTACACACTTTTCCGGTAACCTGCGAAATCTCGATGAATTGAAGCCGTAAGTATTAATTCAAATTTTGATGGAAAGTGTATGTTTTGATTCAAAAATTTACAAAACAAACACAAATCTAATAGCTATTTCAATTTTTACCTAAGAATTTCTGGAGAACTTTTCTGGATGACTTTTCTGGACACCACTTTCCTCTTTACGAACAAAATATGCTTCCTTCCGCCATGTTTCCACTTAAAAATCGATCGCGGGAAATATCGATCATGATTCGAGAATCGTAGGAAGTATATTGCATATTTCACCGTTGGGGCGCTGTAGTCGCACGTTTCACATGAGCATAACATGAAATAAAAAGAGCAAAAAACATTGGTCTAAATCAAATACACAAAATTCATGACAAATTCTTAAAAAAGGACGATAAAATTCACACACTTGATAAAAAATTCAGTTAATACTTAAAACTGAGACATGAGAAATTTTATTATATTACGCAGTAGAATTATTATTTAAATACATACATCCTTAATAAATAATTGTTGAATTTAATGTTAGAATTGCTCAGAATTATACACTATAAGGTTAAAGAATCAACAAATAAGTACAAAATGTTACAATAGAAGTAAAGGGATATTACATAATATACACAAGGAACATTAATATGGCTAAAGTTAGCCATATTACAACGTCACAATATTTGTATTGGTTAGAATTCAAATTCAGTTGAAATTTAATTTTGATATAAAATTATAAATAACTTTTAGCGTGATATGTTCTGCTTAAACGTTTATATGCCATTTTTTCTATAATTGTCAAAAATTATGTGTAATAATTATTTGGTTAGATCTTACCTTGAATTGAACACAAAAATGAACGTTTTATCTTAAAAATTTATAATACAAATACAAATCTAACAATTATTGATCTAAATTTTTACCTAAGAACTTCTGGATAATACTTTTCGATGATTTTTCTGGGAACCACTTTCCTCTTTACGGACAAGATGTGCTTCCTTCCGCCATGATCCCGCTTAAAAATCGATCGTTCGAGAAATATCGATTACGTTCAAGAATCGTAAAAAGTGTATTGCATATTTCACCGTTGGGGCGCTGTAATCACACGTTTCACATGAACATAAATTGGAATAAAAAACAAAAAACATTGGTCTAAATCAAATACACAAAATTCATGACAAATTCTTCAAATGGACAATAATATTCATATATTTGATGAAAAATTGTCAATACTTAAAACTAAAATATGAGAAATTTTATTATATTACACAGTAGAATTATTATTTAAGCTATTAAACATACATACATCCTTAATAAATAATTATTGAATTTAGTATTAGAATTGTTAAGAATTATGCAATATGAGGTTAAAGAATCAACAAATAAGTACAAAATGTTACCATAAAAGTAAAGGGATATTACATATATAATAAACAGTTAGCCATATTACAACGTCATAATATTTGAATTGGTTAGAATTGAAATTTAATTTGATATAAAATTATAAATAACTTTTAGCGTAGTATGTTCTGTTTACACGCCATTTTTTTCTACAATTGTTGAAAATTATGTGTACTAATTATTTGGTTAAATCTTGAATTGAATGCAATAACAAACATTTTATTATATAAAAATTTACAATACAAATACAAGTCTAACAATTATTGATTTAAATTTTTACCTGAATTTCTGAATGACACTTCTTTCTGGATAATACTTTCCCCTTTACAGACAGGATGTGCTTCCTTCCGCCATGATCCCGCCTAAATATCGATCGTGAGAAATATCGATTACGTTCGAAAATCGTAGGAGGTATATTGCGTATTTTACCGTTGGAGCGCTGTAATCGCACGTTTCGCGCGAAATGGTAACTTGAAATAAAAAATAAAACATTGGTCTAAATCATATACACAAAATTCATGACAAATTCTTAAAACAGAACGATAATGTTCACACACCTGATGAAAAATTGTCAATACTTAAAACCGAGAAATTTTATTACATTATGCAGTAGAATTATTATTTAAACCATTAAATACGTACACCCTTAATAAATAATTGTTGAATTTAGTATTAGAATTGTTAAGAATTATGCAGTATGAGATTAAGGAATCAACAAATGAGTACAAAATGTAATAATAAAAGTAATCACAAATAAAATCACATAGTGCTTTTTTGCAAACAATGCAGATCTTTAAATTACGAATCTATACTAAATAAGATACCAAGAAAAATCATGTTTTATATCAAATTCGCAAGAAAATTATCTATTAAAATTCAAAAAATTTATTATTTATTATGAGTACTATACTATATCGCAAATAGTATCATTGGGCTATTGACTCATGTTACATTTTAATTAATATTTAATTTTACTTTACAGTTTGTTTCTACTCCGCAATACAGATTAAATAAAAAATTCCAAAGTCAAATAATTCAACGGTGAATTGCTATTGACCTAACGTTCAATGATACCAGTTAGGAATTAAGATAAAGTACCGGTAAAGTACACATCTCTGCGTGCTGCATATCTCGACAAAGGAGAAAGAACTCCAATATGAGAGTGACTCGAAAACAGGCTGCACGTTTTAAGCACCACTCGGGTAACGTAGAAGGCTAATAGAAGAAGTCATGCAGTGTCATTGTCAGCAGACAATATCACAGATGGTTAAGTTTCTTCTTGCGAATACATACTTCTGATTCATCGGAAACCATTGATCGAAAAGCAACGCTCGACCATTACCTTCCATCGTGCATGTCTGTATTTTATCTATACAGAGTGAGTCTTAAATGCGTACTTTTTACAAAATAGAATAAGTAAAAGAATCTACAAAATAAAATAAGTAAAAATATTATATGAATCTATATTCTACATACTTTGACTTTCGAGACAATGGAAAAGAAAATGTTCCACCTTGTGCCCTAGTACATGCTATTGCACATCGTAGTCTGAACTTTATCTAATTTTACAAGAATATCCATCGATATTCAGGCCTTGAGCGTTTTATAATTTGCAACAAATAAATATGAAGAAACAAATAAATTCTTTTTTTAATATTTTTTTTATATTCATATTTTTTATATATTTTTTTTTAAATTGCATTAGTTTTATCTCATAATATTTGTTAGATAACGAGATGCTGCAGAAAAAAAACACATTAAACAAAACACAATCCATTAAATTTTTATTTTTGGTACAATTTAAAATCTATTGTAAAATTATTCGAGAAATACTTGGCATTTTCTGAAAACTATGGAATTCAATGCTAAGACACGCAGTAACATCGTGGTATAAGGCAAACACATTGAACATTTTCTTCAATTTTTTATAACTCAAAAACTAAGATAAGGCATAAATTCATCTTGTCTGAATAAAATAAAAGTATAAACGGTCGATGAACTTATTATTTCTGAATGAAATAAAAATACTAGGAATCCTATCTTTTTTTACTTATTATATTTTGATTTCTTTCCACATAGTACTCATAATGGCAGTAGAATTTACTCTGTTATTTATATACATATGTGTATTAGTGTCATATAAAAATTTTTATTTGTGATGTAGAAGACTTCCAATAATATCATATCGCTAAACTGCGGATATCCATGCATTTATATAAGAAAAATATAAAAAAATGCATATAATATGCAAAAATATATAAAATATCAGAAGTATAAATATCTATTTAATTGAAATAATATCAGAAATGGAGTAATATTTGGTAGAAGAAACAAATTTTTGCTTAGACTTTCTTTTTATAAAAATTTGGAATTGTATAAAAATTCGCAGTCAACATATAAATGCATTGGAATGTAATGAACCACTGATTTTAAATATATAAATTTCAATTTTTGTGGACAGTAATATTTGCAGTTGATATTTGAATAACAATAGAAAAAAACATTAATAAAAAATACATTTTGATAATAATAATTTTAATAAAAATAATGAGAATTTTCTATTGTATATACATTAATTCATTGATCAAGGATTAAAATACATCGGTGAAAAAAAGAACATTTACATGTACACGTGCCTGCCGCATACAACGTAATGTGCTTTAGCATAAATATATGTCAATGTGTATCAATGTGCATCGGTATGTGTCATTATTTAATTAAAAACTGTACCTATATACATACATACACAACGAAACTTAATATGGACAATTAGCAAATTACCATTTGCTTTGGGAACTCAAACAGTATACATTTCATTTATATTTCATCAATAATGTGATTGCAACCGATGACAATGCTTTATAAAAGACATAAGTGAATTGTTCACGTTCACATATGCTACATATTTAACATTAATAGTATCAGTGTCAATAATATCGCCTGATCTTTGATTTTCCATGCACGTTTCATAGTTGTATCTTGTCGTAGTATTAAAAAAACAGTATTGAAATAATTCCGTTCGTTTTCTAGTTACAATGTATCATAACTTTAACAACATCGGCCTGTCCTGATTTAGAAGTTTCGAAAGCTTGAACTGTATCCTCTAATTTGTAATTATGAGTTATCAGTGGCTTCACGTCAATTTTCTCAGTAGCCAAGAGATTCAGCGCGTCGGCATAGCTAGAAAAATAAAACGAAAAACATTTTTTGAAGTGCTACTATTAATATTAACATTAACATTAATGTACGTATATTTTTACTCGGACATCATAGGACATTTCTCATTTTTAATTGAAATTTTAATTTTTGATGAATTTTAAATTGTTAATATATTAGTAATTATAATTATTAATTATGCAATAAATATATTAATAATATATCAAATTAAATGAATTACTGCAGCAAATATAACAACTATCCTAAGATTTTTGAGAAGATATATGTACAAATATTCACATGTAAGAATATATGTATATATATAAATTACATATGTAACATGTATACATAGTTACATAGAATCAAGATCATCGCCAAAATAAGCAAAAAACTTGCAGATCTTTCTTCTTCTTCTTCTTATCAAAAATATACTAATAAAAATTATCATTTTTCTATTTTACTTTACTGAAACAGTAGTAATAAATTATCACAATCTCTATGAGCTTATGTCATAAAATTATATCATAAAAAATTTTACAATCTCGATCTCTCGTTATTTATTCATCAGTAGTGGATATAACAAAATGTGCATGCATATACTTATGTACTAACTGCAATAGCTATTATTGGGAAAAACGAGAAACATTTGTACGTACTCGTTTGCGTATCGAAATACGCCTCTAATGTCAACTTCTCTCACAAGTGCGTTCATTAATGGAATTTGAACCTCCGATGCGCCCATTCCTACTAAAACAGCCACTCCGCCAGATCTGGTCGCCTAAAAATGCCATGTAAGTCCATTTAACTTACTAATGTACAGGTAAATATATTTACGTCTATTATATATATATATACATATCGTCTATTATTACTGGACTGCGGATTTTTTATGTATTTATGGAAAATTTGATGTTGCAGGAAAGCATAAAATGCACATGATGCGGAAACCTAGCACATGAAATGCCCAAATTACAGCACCCATTAGTATTTAATAAATTATTAATGAAAAAGGTACTACTTTTTAAATTATAAACCTAGAAATATAGATTCGCACAAATATCCACAGTCCAGTTTGTCTATGTGGATACAATTGACTAATTAATGTTATTATTGAGTATTATTATTAAATTGTAGTAGCAGTGATTCATATCGATAAGAAACAAAAGATACATATACGAGAACGAAAAATGAAAGGCTTACGAGAATCGCCAATCGAATCATAGACTGCGCTCCGCACGCATCAATCGTCTTATCGGGTTCTTCTCCGACAAGCTCGATTATTCTTTTTAAAATATGCGACTCGGTATCCTCCTTTTTCACTAATAATGTTTCATCAGCGCCAAGTTTCTTCGCAAGGTCCAATCGAGATTGTGACAGGTCTGAAACAGATCGAGATCCTTTACTTTATCATTCAAAATCAAACCAACGAATCATCTTGTTTAAAAAAAGAAAAAAACTTAAAAATTTCTCAGTAAAAGAAAACATACCGGTAATAACGACTCTACTGGCTCCCATAGCTTTCGCTACCAACAACGACAACAGACCAATCGGTCCAGCTCCCAAAATCAGAACCTTTGAACTGATGCCGATGTTCGCGCGCTTGCAAGCATGTACACCGACCGATAATGGTTCCAACAATGCTCCTTCAGCCAATGTCACATTGTCTGGTAACCTGCAACGCAAAACGATTTTGTTACAAATGTTGCTCTCTTCATTTACAAACTAAATTCATTTGCACAGTCAAAAAGTACTGTGCAAATTAAATCTATACAGTCAAAAATCGCACGGTGAAACAAAAGTATTGGCACACCTAGCTTTCTTGCAATATTTTTGTGAAAACGAGTGATACGTTAACGTAAAAGAATTTGTTTTAGTAAATACAGTAATTACTATATGCAGAAGTGATGCATGTACGAGTTATACACATACAATAGTACAAGTAATATAAAGATTCGAGAATGAAGGAAGTATTTATGTACAAATGTATTTGGACAGAATGGAAAATATTTTCAATGGTTTAAAGACAAACTTTCCTCTCTTAATGTTAGTGCGATATCATTCGATAACATTCCAGTGCTTACGAAAGAATATTTATTAGAGTAAAACGCGCTATTAAATGCAGATTAGGCACTGGAATATTTATATTTCTTGTACTGTTATTGTATAACACATCATTGGAAATTGCTACCGTGCACATTGCTTTTGTATGTAATGAATTATTTATGGAAATAGATTTTGCTAATATATCACTTGTTTGCACCAATACTTTTTATGAATGGTGACCTCGAATAAGAGTCTATGTTACACTTATCACATTCCGAGGTGACGCGGTTTAAAATTCGATATACTTTCAAAACACACAACTCTTTTTAGAAAAACACGTAACTCTTTTTATTCTGTTTTGCATCAACTTCTGACGGAATATTTGCTATCTATGTATACTGAAACGATCTCCAGAGATTGTAGAATCATATTATACTGTTAACTGAATTTCCAGAACGTGACGTAGACTCTTATTCAGGATTTTTATGCATTTGTTGGAAATTTGAAGACATAAAAACATAAAAATTTATAGAATGCACATAAAATATCCACACTGTAGTACTCACACTGTATAATTATAATATTTAAAGGATCTATTTAACGAATTTGGAATTTTAATCAGGAAATGTACGTCGACGTACATAATTAAAGTCGAGGAATGACGACTATACCAGAACAAATGCCTACTGTAAATTTAAATTGAATTACAACAAATGCTACAAAGTGTCTCGTTTTTCTACGCGGCGAGTAAAAACTGATCATTCCCTCACGATGAGTATGCTCGTTAAACACCGTAGAAGGATTAACGACACACACAACAATTCAAATTTCCATGGATTTGCATAAATTAAAAGAGAAAGCACCATAAGTGAGTGCCTATAAATATGTATCTTTACATCCAGTTAAGTGCAAAAATTCATAACATCCATAAAAATCTGTTCGAGCATAATTTTTATACCGTCGACAAGTATAATAGAAATGCGTCGTAATAAAAAAAAAAAAAAAGCGCGTAACATTGTTTGTTCAAAATTAATGTTAACTTACTTGAAACAAAAGTCCGCAGCATGCTTATAGAAACGTCTTAAATTCCCATGTACCGGCGGAGTGGCGCAAAATATCATGTCCTTACACAAATTGTAACGTCCTTCTTTACAAAACTTACACATTCTACAGGATACCCCAGGTTCAATGGCCACTCGGTCACCGACCTAAGTTAGACATTCGTTAAACATCAAAAAGTAACACAAGGAAACTGCATACACGATTGCATATATGTACATGTGTATATATAGATGCTATATATATATATGATTGTATATATGTACTCAAATATCACCTAACAATATTGGTAAAAATTATTGAACATCTACCTCCAACAGCACTAAAAATAATTTAGATATTCGACTCAACAATGACACTCCACATTTACAAAACGAGTAACTTTTTATTCGCGAATATCGATTATTGTAATAAATTGCATTTAATTCTCTAGGCACTCGATCTAGCTGAAGTTGTGATGGATAATTATTCGATTTGTTTCTCCTTTCACTCAATATTTATAAAATGTAATCTGAGAATCGAGTGACACACATGTACATACGTTTACATATACGTAACCACTATCTTCTTAATTTCACGTCATATATACACTGTTGTTTGTGTACGAAACAACAAGTTTTATAGATAATCAAATGTATTTTAAGTCTACAAATGATCAAAAGTATTTCAACAGAATTTAACAGTCGTCGTTCAATCGCACATACCTTCAAGTTCTTCACATTCTTTCCAAGTTTGACAACTACTCCGGAAGATTCGTGGCCTATTATCATTGGTTTTCGTACGACGAAATCACCTATTCTCCCATTAACCAAATAATGAACATCGGAACCGCAAATTCCAACGCAAGCCATTTGCAAAAGTACCTCTGAAAAAAGAAAAGCCGATTAAACGAAATTACATTGTTACTATTGGGCCAAGTTAGTCAGCAATCCTCGAAATCCTCAAAATGACAAAAATTTTTTTTTTTTTTTTGCAAAAAGTTGCCAATTCACGGAGCAATTATGCTTATATCATGCAATAGAAACTACTACTACGATCTATACTATTCGCTATTAAATAAGTCTATTAAAAAACATCGTAAAACAAACATTATTAAATATATTAAATGGAAATGAAATTTCTTTTTCTTTTCTTAAGTTAAAATCTTCAAATTAGATTCAGATTTCATTCCGAATTCCAGATTATTGAGAGCTATCTACGTCATATGCTCCAGTTATCGTTAGTAAAACGTCAATGTACGCATCTAGGTTGCCTGTGTGAACTATTATCGATAATACTTTAATCAATAATTAATTTTAACCATTAATTTTTATATAAAGAAATTTGGGAACAGAAAAATGCAGAGAATGCAAATACTATATGCATAAATATTTACGTAAAATGTAAAATAGAAAGTAGAATACTTGTTACAATAGTTTAATAGTGGAAATAAATTTTTGCTTAGGTTTGATTCCTTGAATTACGTTCATGAAAATATGAAATTGCATGAAGTTTCACAATCTAATTGCAGAGAATTAAATACAACTGATAAGGGGCAATAAAGTTAAGATATGTACTTTGTAGAACGCTAGATTAAACATGCACTTTTCTATTATAGTATCATTTAACAAATATTCTTACCATTTTGATCGGGTTCCTCGATCGGAGTTTGTTCCTGTAACCAAAGAGAATTAAAATTAAAACGATCAGTTGCGTACAACGATGGAACGTATAATGTTCAACATCGTCCAATTTTGATAGTTTATTAACGTTAGAACTATGTTAAGTTCCAATGTTAATTTAAATAATCAATTTATAATTTTTACTAAGAATTTTACAGTAATGTAGTGTAATACAGTAATATAGTTTTAAAGATTTAAATGATTTTTTGTAATGTGTGTAGTATTGTATTGTATTATAAAGATTTCTTCTATTCTTTTATTTTACTCTAATAGAAATTTTACATTTTAATCGTCGGTAGTTCTAGCACATAATTTTCAAAACCCTGAATGTCAATTATCTAATGTTCTTCCACCTTGAAAGCAAAATGCAAGCTAAAAAATTTCTATTACACTAAAATCCGGAGACTGTAATGGATTAATTGATTTGGAGTGTCCTTCAATCAATCTTAACTCTCGTGATACGCTTTGAATCTCTGATCTTATTGAAAGACTCATAAATGTAGCAAAAAAAAACTTCCATAATACTTGCAGCTAAATTTTAAAATATCTAAATATCCAAGTTTGTTTATAGTACTGTTAAAAGTGCACTTTTTGACAATTCTCCGACTACAAAAGCTGCCATACTATGACCGTATGCCATATCATCTCTGTCATGTTTGATGGAATTCTATTCTTTCCTATTCTTTCAACATATATCACTGCACATGTTTCAAGTGACATAAATATCATATACCACTATATTACTACCTCAGTCTTCTAATAATAACCGATCTTTATTTTTGTTAAACGTATGCTCGTATACTTTTAACTCTCGTTACATGTATAGAAAACAGTATAGAAATACAAATACGAATGTTAGCGTAATTTAGTGATTGGACTTTCCTGCATTTATGTTGCTCGAGAGTTTAACGATACACATCGACAAAGCTATACTACATCCGAATGAATGAATATCGTTTCATTCACACCGTATATATATATATATATATATATATATATATATATATATATATATATATATATATATATTACATTTTATAAATCCGCAATGAACGAAACAACGAACAGTAACGAAAGAATGATAAACGACACGATAGGCATTCTGGAACTTTGCATTCTCAAAATTTTAGAAGCATGACTAAAGAAACAGAACCTAGATTTAGTGATGCACATACAGTCGCATGTAGGCATCGCGTTGCACAATCCCTGCCTGCCTCTCTCCTTCATTACATAAACGAACAAAAAGAAAAAAGAACTAAAGGAGAAAAAGAGAGATAAAGATATTTATTAGAACGGTAACGGTACCTTCTACTGTTGATCGAGCCAAATTTATTACGCGAATTTAACACAGTGTTAAAAAGTTTCGCAAACAAAAAGAAATGCGAGGGACTGGCGGGCGGCGGAAAATTTTTCGAAATCAAGCAGCTGGTTGTGCCGTCACCGATCCAAATGGAAATTCGTTCCGTTACGTGCTACGGTATGCTTCATTTCATACAGCAGGAACGATGCAACAGTTGAAACAGTAGCGCGTTAGCGTTTAACAAGCGTGTCCGTGCACACGTAACGCAGAATAGATTGACCCCGGGGCGGATAATCGAAGAAATAATGACAAAAACGGTGAACCTTGTACTTGTACGTGTACACGGACGATCTGCCCCGTCCCTGGACGTGCGTTAATCGTATTAACGAAGTAACCGTTTCAAGTGATAACAGCGGAGACAAAGAGACATAATCGACGTAATCGCTTTGCTCAATGAAAAATAAATCTGCACGCGTACACGTCACATCCTCTTCTATCCCACTTTTCCTGTATTTTCGAAAAATCCGTCCGAGGCAGCGACGTTAGACGGGATAAAGATTTTAATTTCGTTTACTGGAAACAACGTCCGAGGCATCATCGAATATTTCCATAAATGTTCCATTGAACATTCGCGTAAACAACGTGCGATTATTCAGGACAAGATTATCACGACCAGCACAGCGTGTGTTACGTTAACGCTAGAACTATTCGACGAATACGGTCGAAACAACCGACTTATCATTTCCGTCAGAAATTTTTCGAACGTGAAATAATTTTCTTTTAGGGGTTTCCAATGATTTTTTTTTTTTTTTTTTTTTTTTTTTTTGTAAAATATATAAACGAAAAGCTTGCGCGCTCTGTCGCAAAGCAAACACGACAAAGTTCTTCTGCTTCTTTCACTTTAAAAACTTGGTGTTTTAAATAGAAACGTCGCAACGTTAAAATTTTCCTTGCGTATATGGTTTTTTATTTATTTAAATTCATCTTCATACGCGCAAAAATACGTTTGACGGTTGAAAATAAAAAGAAGGAGAGAAGGAGAACACATAATGGAAATTTTCTTTGAGAAATTACAAACATTAGTATATAAGTGTACAATGTATAATTTGTATAATGTACTGACCAGCCTAATGTCGTTGATGCCATAGAGAATAGCTGTGAGATTGTCGTTGGCCATGATACGAAACAACGTGTAGTTACAGTGATCGACGAGCGGTCTCTCGGTATCCGGAATATTTCACGGAAGAGCACTAGGGAAGCTAAAACTAGAAGAGAAGAGCACGCGCGGCTTATATATAAGCAGTCTAGCTGCCGCGCTCACCGCAACCAGCAACCTTATCATCCATCGCGTCTCCGTGGAACCTCTTTACTCCTCGAAAAGATATCGATGTTGTACGACCAACTTTCTTGATAAACTTTAGTCTCGTTCGAATATTCTCTCCTCCTCTTTCTCCTTTTACGAATTATTAGAAGTTGTACAATATATTTTTTTCTCTCGAATCGAACAATCCCCGAAGCAATCAGTGTCCGTTTATTCGGTTAAGAGGTCAAGATCGTTGATCCATTGCGAAATAATACGTTTATAAACGGCTATAAAATTCGAAGTGCGATACAGGAGCAATTCCTTCGGTTGGTAACTGTAACAGAAATTTCCCGCGACATATTTTATAATTTCGATAATTAAAATGTAAAACAATGCTGATTACATAATGAACACATACTTACACACTTGGTATACTTAAACACGTGCATTGACGTATTTGTCAATTATCTCGAACAATACGCGATTTTCGAAAATCCAAAAAGGATTATTTTGCAAATGTTTGTTACATATGCACGTGTATGTAAATCAAATGATAGAAAAGTACATTTCTACGCTTGTAGGAACGAATCGTAAAAATTAAACACATGAAAAAAAATCACAATATACGTACGCAAGTAAAATTGATGTAAACGAAAGAAAAAGAAAAAATTGTAACCACCGAATATAAACAAAATTAATGTAAATAACATTTGACCTTTGTATCTATAATCTGAAACAAACTAAAAGCTAGCTTATCTGCTCAATGCAAATTTCGTAATACGACAATTCTTTCAAAAATATCTCTTAATTTCCTTATCACTGTATAAATGGAAAAATAATGAAAAGTTTTATGATATTTAATGAAGATGTCAGCACCAATAGTTACATATCAAATAACATATCATATTGCATCTTTTGGATGCAACTTATAAAACTAAATAAAACTAAATAAAACTAAACTTATAAAACTAAATAAAACTAAACTTATAAAACTAAATAAAACTAAACTTATAAAACTAAATAAAATTAACTTAATTGTGAAGTATTTAAAGTTTGTTTATATTGTGTATGTTTCAAGAGTTTCAACTGTCAACTAACAAAATATTAGATTAATTATTTTGCAATTTCTCTTCTACTAAATACCCTTGTAAATTTTTACCAATCTATTTTCGGTATATAGATATTTATATCTATTATTAAATGCCTCTCTCTCTCTCTCTCTCAAGTACACATTCTTTTAGTAAATCAATTGTACATGATTATTCTTATAAATATTAAAAATGAAAAATTAAACGTTAACTTATATGAATAGAGAGGAGAGAGCAAGAGAGAAAATGTGTAAAAAATCATATGGATTTATATTTTCCATTATATCAAGTGTTATGTAAACACAACATGCTGAAAGATTAGACTGAATTTTACTTTTTATTTTATTTTATTTTATAATTTCAATTTTATCTCAATTTCATTTCCCTCTATTATCTTTATATTGCCATATAATAACTGATTCAATAAATAAAAAATAATACTAAATTATATTTCTATGGATAGTGAAACTATTTAAAAGTTAAAAGTATCATATCTAAATAAATTCTTTCAGGGAAATAATAGAAAAGAATTGAAACTTTATTTGTAATAAATATGTGATAGTTTTGTTGTTCTTTTTTTTTCTTTTTAATGAATCATCTACAATAAATAGCAAAAATGTTTTGTCAGTTTTATTCCCAACCCCATATCCCTGTCGACTGTTTAATTGTATCCTTATTCTCCCTCCTAGTTCTAGTTACCGCGTTTGCCTCTCCTTTCACGAGTATTCTCTTAGACTCTTCTTTTTTTCCGCGTTTCTGTAAAGCTAGTTTCACCTTTTTCTTAATGAGTTCGGGAGAGATTGTTGCATTTGTCATACTACTGTACATACTTCCTGAGTCACTAGATTTTTCTACGTCGGATGTTTCCATATCATCAAAAACCGAATTAGTCATTTCTTCATTCTGTTTTTCATTTAAATCATACGGCTTTGTACGCGTTACACTTTCCACTGACTTACTTATATCGATATTCTTGACACCTTCTTCTATAACATAATCTTCTAAAGATGAGACAATTGAGTCTTTCTTTTCATTTACTTTTGCGTTCACAAGTGTTTCCTTTGATGTACACATAAATTCACTTCTTACAGAGTTTTCAACTTGAAGTTGCACATTAATTTCATTCTCATCCGTACTTCTATCTTCTTCATTCGCATTCTCACTGCACTCATCCTCAGTTTCTTCATCTTCAACTTCGACCATGTCCATTTCCTTCAAAAAATCCTTAATTTGTTTTGTAATACCGCTGGCCTTAGTTTCAACATCAATATAATCTTCTCTCCTAAAGATAAATTCATTTATATAATTTAGCTCGTAACACTGATATTTTACTTAATGTTCATCTTTATATTTTTGCTATAACTTACGAAATATCATGAAATGTTGGGTATAATTCGCTTTCATAACCGAACCGTCTTTTAAAAAAGTCACGAACACACTTTACATCTCTTTCGAAATAAGCTGCAGCCTCCACATGCTCGGTGGAAATCATCTGCGGAAAATCAATAAGAATAGGTTTCCCGCTATTTGTTATCATGATGTTGAACTCGTTGAAATCACTGTGAATAACTCCATGATTTCCCAGTTTTACAATCAAATTCATTAATTCGTCGTACAACAGTCCAACATTACCCACTTTGTATACACCACATCTAGAACAGAGCTGTCTTGTAGATACTACACCTAAAATAAAATAGTAAAAAGATAGTAAAAAGAAGTAACGATACTTACAGAGGTCCACCTTCAACCAGCTCCATAACAACGCAATGTCTATTGAAATCAATTGGTTTAGGTACTGGAAATCCTCTATCGTAAAGTGCTTTCATGTATGCATATTCTCTTGTAGCCGCTATTCTTGATAGATACAACCACGATGCCGATTTTCTATGTTGATGATAATCTCTTTTACTTTTGATATTTCTAAAACAAGTCCTTCCCAATCTATGTAGTTTCAGGCATATTGACTCTCCCTCATCATTAGCAACTATGTAAATGTTAGATTCTTTTCCTACTCCAATTTGATTGCCAAAAGAAGTGACAGTACCTCTTCGTGCCAAAACTTTTAAAGCCAAATAATCGTAGCCTGTATTTGTCAAACGATAACCATCATCTAAAAAAATAAAGTGTTTTATACATATGCACATGTTATTTGTGTTGCTTTATTATTATCAAAATCTGTATTATATTATTTAAATGATCCTATTATTATTATTATTTAAATGATCAACTAACAATTTTTTCCACGTTCATAACTGAGAAGCCTATGCCTGCATAGTTCTTTCAACAACTTTTGCACACCACCGTAACGCAAATTTGCTATTTGAGCAGCCAGCGACGCAGGGACAAGTTCATGGTTCTTCATTCCCATTTCAATCTATAACAGTAAATATCAGGAGATTTAATAGTACTGCTATATTTTTTATTTTAAAAGTAACAGCTATTTTCTAACACAAGCTACATAGCATTGCACAATTAACTTGACCCAAGACCTGATATTTTTTCCTTTCCAAAATATAAAATTATATACTGTCAAAAGACCAAACATTCAGAGATACTCTTTAAACAATCATTTTCTCATCTTTTCACACATTAAAAGATATAAAATCCTGCAATGTTTGATATAACCTATTGTATCGTTGACATAAAATGAGTTACGATACGCATACGATAAAATATTGTTTTAATTTAATTATATATAATTAATAATGCACATTTACCGCTGTTAAAACACGAAAGTCCTCTCCCGTTAAATATCGTAAAATCGTCACGTTTAATTTCCCCATTTTAGATTATTTCACTATGATAGTCCGACGCTTCTCCGATTCCTTCACTTCCGACACCACTGCAGGTCAGCACAAAACTAACTTCACGTGCCACTGTACGTGAGTTAAGCAGCATGTAGCGACCCCTACTCTCTCTCTCTCTCTCTCTCTCTCTCTCTCTCTCTCTCTCTCTCTCTCTCTCTCTCTTTGAAGTATTTAGATCAACAATATCTATGTTCATTAAATCGTTCCGTCGAGATGTGTATTTAATATAAACAATAGAATATTTAAAAATTGTTAGTAATTTTATTATCACCATGGAATAGTGATTATGATAATTTAAATTTATATCACAATACTACAAGCACTTGTGACCGATATGCCATCTTGAGTTCTTAATCCAAACCAGAGTTGGGCATTATTCGAAAATTTTATATAATCGAATAAATTTTATAAAATTTTATATAATCGAATAAATTTTTATAAAATTGTTATTCGTAAATAACGAATAATTCTTTCCCGAATAAAATCGTTATTCGTTATTTACGAATAAATTTGACAGTATTTTATTCGTTATTCGTTCTAAACTCTGATCCAAACATCTGGAACAAGAATCAACATCATTAAGCCCCATTAATAAATATGGCTAGCGGATTTCCAAGACAAAACGCAAAATTCTTCCATGTGCTCTAATCTTTTTTCTTTCGACATGATTTCTCTTTTTCATGTTCACCAGACAAAAGAATTCATGTTCTTTAGTTACAATGTCTTTGTCTGAGACATGACAATAGATTATTTCACGAACAAAAATTACTAAACAGAATGCGTAATACATATTATATCTTGCAACTTTTACATTACAAAATTATTAAAAGATAAAAGTAATATCAATTCATTGCTTCTTTTAATTCTTGAAAATTTTTTTATCTTACACATTCACGTGCATTTCGACTATTTCGAAATTTCGAAAACAGAGACCGAATCGGTATTACGGATATTGGTAAAAAAAACAGGTATTTTTAGGATACTATTCGATTTCGGTTTGATGAAACCGAAATAGTGCGAATACCGATATAACGATGTTAAGCCGGTAGATGTGTTTCGGTATAATACCGGTAAATAAAATATTAATATATTAGAAAAGGAAAAGGAGACAATGATTAAAGTTTTCATAAAGCTGCCGATAGTAAATTTGACGACGTTTATACACGTACACTTTGTTTATTTTTATTAGCTTTTTTATTAGTTTTTAATTTTATTTTATTTATATTATATAGCGGCTAGCAGATGTCGGAGAAAGTCGTTTTCTCAGACATGCAATTAGGAGAGTTTACGACTCACGTCGTTTATGCTATTGAATTGTGAAGGTCAAGTTTATTTCTCACAATGCATAAAGATCAGACATTTGCACTCGGAGCTTTTAGTAATTCGAGCACAATAGCATTTCCACAAAGCGCCGTAAACCCTAGGTTTCCAAGGGTAATAAAATGTTTACTTTTCTGTCGTTTTTAACCATTACCATAATTATATTCGTTTTTAACCATTACCATAATTATACGTCATTATCCTTTATTATTTCTAATACTAATTCATCGTTGTATCTCTCACGCTACATTTCGACATAATTCAGTTTATTGTTTGATATTAAGAAAAGTATGTGCAATAAATAAATAAAATTTATGTTACTATAAACTATAATGAATGTTCTATTATATTATTAAAAATCTATTATATCATTAATCCAAATTTACTATTATAAACAATCGAAATCCACAATAATATTTTGAATAGCATGATGTCCGAATATTAATAAGAGTCACTGTACATAGAAAATGAAAAATGTGTTTTCGTCAGTAAAGCGGTATATACAGGTATTAAAACCGATTTCCCAAATACAGGTATATTACGATGAAAGCCCATACCTATATAATACCTAAATCTCAAAATATTTCGGTTTTCAGTCTCTTTTAAATTTTAAAACGTGTATACATGGATACGATCCAAGAAAAATATTTTCTATTAAATTAAATCATTTTACTATGTGTATATGTAATAAAATATAAATAATTAATTTAGAATCATAATTTATCAATATACATATGAATACACGATACATTTCGTTACTTGTAAACGTATTAAAAAAAAAGAAAAAATAAAAACTTTAAAAAATTTATTAATAAATCGTAAAGAAAAACTATTTTCATCATTGCTCGTCATATATCAATGGAATATCCATACTTGTCATCTAAGCAGAAAAATAAAAATATTTATCAGTATTAATTATCAATATTTTATATTTATAAAAATATGTAAATCAAAGATATTAAATAAACAAATGTAAAATATAAGTATAAAATAATTAAATATAAAATATGAGGAAAAGGTAAGTAAACAAAGATAGAAACACAGAGATGTATTTTATTTTAAATATTCTTGTTTATTAACTATAGTAGGTACTTAACAAATTGTTAATATTATGAAATAGTATAACCATACTACAGTTTAAAGAAATTAATTGAAAATATTACCCAAGTAATATAAGTGGCCAAGTACATTTATATTTGTAACATAATTGTTGTATGGAAATATTGACAACATTAAAGATGGAACGAATTTCTATATTAGAACAGAAAGAAAATTGCAGTAATAATACAATTTAAAAAACAATGATGTTACAAAGTAATAATACAATTTAAAAAACAATGATGTTACAAAATAAATGAAGGAAGCAAATTAAGATTTCATTTTACTAAATGAATTAAAATTTCAATTTGCTAATTTGTGAAAAGGACGAAGGAAAAAGATAGAAATCGATGTTTAATGTAATGTAGCTTGTAACATTTTTGAATGTGAAATCACAAACAAGATCATTATCAATTAGCCTTTGTATCAGTTATTTATCACTTTCTCACTTAACTTTAACGTGATATTCAAGCAACTAATTGCAAATACAAAATTATAAAGTCTTAGTCTGAGAAATTTTTTTACATTGAAACTTATCACTATTATCATCGCAGAAATATTTGCGGTGAAAAAATGAACAATTGCTTTTTTTTTTAATATTCTAATCCATCCTATATCTAATCTGTGCGTGCAAAAATCAGTTGTACATTACCCGTGCATATGCAATATTTAAGAATTAGAAAATTAACATTATACCAATAGTATGTACATTTAATTATATGTTATACACGGTGTTTACTGATATTTGCTTCAAACACTATAGGAATAGAATTCAAGAAATGAGTTTCAAATTCCATAAACTTTGTACGATAACATTTTTACAAATCTTACATCGAATTTATGAATATACAAATGACACTCGCAATTAACTAAGCTAAACAAGCTGTTGTAATACTTTCTCATCATATGTTAATTTACATAAAAATTAATCACATATATTAATTTATACGAAAGTTAACTTGTTGAGTACAGTTAATATTATTTTATATCATTCTCAACGTTGCAGGGACATTTGAAGAGGAAGACATTGGGAGAGAATTCAAATAAAAAATAACGTTCAATAGCTTACTCCACCTTGAAAATGTAAAATTCTATCATTTTCTAATAATACAATAAAATTAAAGGAAAATTTTGAATATATCTTTTATTATACAAGTCTTGTATTTTCTTTTCTACAAAAATGACTGGATTGCCCAATTTGTTTGGATTGTCTACCACCAATCTCAATCTTACTCTGAGTCGTACCTTTTTCACGGTAGCGGAAGTATCTTCTACAATTTCCATCCGATTCACTTAAAATTTTCGGCACGATCTTGCTTTTTATATAAGCGTATTCTAGCGAAATATGTATAGCTTTCGCGAAATATTTAAATCTTTTTTTTTTGCTACAGGCATATGTATAATTAACTTTTTCATGAAAAATAAAACCTTTTATTCAAAAGTGTACAACTTCCACAAAAATCGACATTTTTCAAAAATCCTACGTATTTCATTAGTAAATTTACGCAGAAATTAGAAATATTTGGTTTTCTTCTTTAGCTCAAACTATGAGACTGTAATCTACGCTACTGCAAAGGGGTGATGCATTGCGATGATATTAGCTCAATTATTAAAAAAGAAAAAAGAAAAAAAATACAGAATTATCTCTCAAGACTTGTATAATAAAGGTACTGCATTTTCCTCTAATTTTCTGTTAATTCTATTATAAGCAAAAATGAGAAAACAATATTTTACACATCCAAGGTGGCCCAACATAATGCTGATTTCTATCAGTTGTATCACCACCATATACTATACATTATTATAATGCACGCGCGTATTGCCACAAAGATAAAATATCTTTGAAGTTTACTCATTATTTTCCTACAATTCTATTTAATTTTTACTTCGTAAATTACTATACTTAGTAAATTAGTTGCTACATTTTTGCAAATAATAACATATATATTTAATATCATCGAAGTTCCTAAAAAGAAAGAGAGAAGAAAGAAAACCTAAAGAAGAAAAGAAAAAGTAAAAGTGAAATATTTAAAAAAGAGAAGAAATAAAGAAAAGAGATACTAATGTTAATGTTAATGTCGATATACTTATAAATATTGTCGTATTTATAAAAACTGTCCAAATTTAATCGATAAATTCTTAACATGAACAAACATTTTAATATACAAGTCAAATACATATTTTTTTTTTCATAGTTACTGATATCATGCATTGTCTCAATAAAAATGTGATGTTACATTTATCTAATGAATAGAACAAATTATTTAACGAAGATAAACAAAGTTTATACTAAGATATTATTGAGGAACAATTAACAAAAATGGAAGGGAATCCTACTTATTCCTATGTATGTCATTATTAATAACTTCTAGAACAATACATGTAATAATAAAGAATATGCAAAAATAGCAAGCAATTTTAAAAACAAAGAATCATAGAATCAATATAATTCAATTATAATTCACATATTGAAATATGTAATGTGACTCTGTAATTCACTATATATGTGCATGTAAGACGGACGCTTCTAATAAATATATGTATATATTGTTCTATTAGACGTATTGTAAGAAAATTAAGGATGATATTATTTTCAGTGTACATACATAAATATACATACAAACATAGATATTACTCATAAACTATAATAATTACATATACCTATATAGATGTTATGTGCTATACAGCTCTCAATGTTATACAATAGAAATGAAAGAACAAAAATCATATATTATGTAATGAAATCGTACACAGTAAAAGTAAAAAAGTACTGATTGAAACTGATTAAATTTAGTTAAATGTACAGTTCCTAGACAAAAAAAATTGTCAACTGCTTCTTGTATAAAAAGTTCATAAATTATTCTCATGTTGCGTATTGATCGTAAGTATGAATCATTATAGCTGCACTTACCAGTAACGTATTTTCAAAAATATCGTTTATCAAATTATTTATCATTAATCATGCGTAGATTTATCTTCGGCAAAAGATAACTTTTCTTCATCGCCAAATATTGATCCATCATCCGACAATTCGTCTGTATCAATTATTAATTCCTCTTTCTTTTTATTTCGAATCTTTCTGTGTGATCGCTTAATAGAAGTTTGCTGTAGCAACTTGATATAACTTTTCGTCTTCAAACAATTTGGTGGTGTTGCGAACGGTGATACATTTTCCGTGCTGATACTTGCACAATTCTGATTATCAGTTATAGGATTTGCCAATTTTTCTATCGATTTATTGCAAATCGACTTGTTTATCACATCATCTATGACAGCACAATTATTCGAAAGTTCTAATAGATTATTCGTTTCATTTAAAACATTTTCTACTGATATTTCACATTTTCCGTCCACGGAATGGTTACCTTCAATTAAGCCGATACTTTTCCACGAACTACTTCCACGTTTATTTTTTTTATGTGATTTTTTAATGGAATCTAAATTAGAATACAATTCCGTAGTTGACATATTTCTTGGGGTCAACCTACCCGTTACATCATTAGAACCGCAATCGTATATTTCTTCTGCAGTTTCATTGTTAACATCATCGGATTTTATTAATGTATTACATTTTTCCGCCCTTTTGCAACTACTTGAAAGATTTAATACAGGTGTTAAACATCTCGAGAAGCTAATATTCGGAATAACATCTTTCGAATGTTCAATCGATGAATCGTCAAAATGAGTATACTCTTTAGCAGCGATAGATACAATCAATGATCTTTTCCTTTTAAGGGGCGTGAAAATTTGAAATTCTTCTTTTGATGTATCCAATTCTTGTAGTTCAGAATCATACAATATATTTTTCTCGCTATCTGACGATATACCTTGTGGTTTTCTTCTTTTACTTGGAGATAATTTTTCCAGGGACGAATTCAAGCTCGCAGACGCCACTAAAGATGTAGAATCATCAATATTTGTAGCAATATCTAAATCCGAATAATTTTCCATACTATTTTTACATTTGGTCATATCATTATTAAATGCTTTATATTCATTATTTGTTACTAAATCTATATCTTTATTAAAATATTCTTGACGTTTTAAAAACCCAGATATTATCTTATTATGTTTATCCTTTTTATGAGATTTTTTAACTGAACTATATTGTGATAATAAAAGCCTGCTGGAATTCACTTTTTCGGGTGTACATGATCGCTCCTCTCTTGACACATCAAGATTATTCACCTTTGTAGGTACTTTATTTAGTTCAATATTTTCATATTGTACAAAATTTTGTGAACATTTAATATTCTCTTGTTCTTCTGTAGCTTTTAGTTTATCTTGTAAAACTTTCGGGCTGAACAATCTCTTTTTATTATCACCCTTAATTTTTTTATGAGACTTTTTTATAGAATCTTTAATAATTGTTTCTAAAATATTTATACGATTCTCAGGAGTAACAGATTTTTGCGAGTTTAAGTCTTCTTTTACTGGCACTGGAGTTACAGATCTAGTATTGTTAGTTGAATTATTAGCATTAATGTTGCTAGGATCAATTTTCGATAAACGGTCTACATTCTCCTCTAATTTTATTTTAACATCGAATTTATCTATTTCGTGTACGACGCTACTAGATACTTCTTTAGATTCTTCTAAAATATTTTTCTGTTCCTCTGTATAATCAAAAAGTGAACCTGTTTCTGATATATTATCTTCAGAATGATTTAAGATTAATTCATTAGAATTCGAATTTTCATCAGTACATCGATCAATATCTGATTTAGTATCTTCAAAAGAATCAATATATTTTCTATGTTGATTTGCTAAAAATCTAGATCTGTCTAGAGGTACACTTTCATTATCTATAAATTGTGTTGAGTAACAGGCACTACGCCTTGATGATCTTTCCTGTATACAACATTACAATATGTAAAAATTAATGATAATACATCACTTTAATACATCAAAATATAAAACTACTTATTTTTTATTTTTAAAAAGCAAAATTAACTGAGAGAAAAGAATTTCAATTAATTTTTTTTACTTACCTTCTTGTGGCTCTTTTTAATAGCACTCATACTTTCTGGAATTATACAAATTAAATTTTTAGGTGTGCATGGTCCATTGTCATCCTTATCATGAAATTCATGAAATAGATTTCTTGAAGTATTCACGATATCATTTGTATATTTTGATCTACCTTTGATACATTTTAATGACTGTGAACTGGGCGTTGCAGTTATATAAACAATGTTGTCAATGGTTTCTTTCATTCGACTACGTAGTAATGGTGTAAAACTTGCTGAACCTAATGATTTTCTGATATTCTTTGTGTTAGGTGTAGAATAATGTAACATTTCATGTTCCTTTGTATTTTGCTGCAATGGTGTCTCATTTTGGTTTTCATCAATAGAATCAGAAGATGAAAATAATAAACTACTGTTCGTAGACTCACTATGATTATCATCAAGATTTATAAATTTATTGGAAACTGACAAAGGAGAACTGTTTAGGCTCAAAGATTTTTGTATACCTCTCTTCACATGCCTAAATCTTTTTGGACTAGGAGTTAAGTTGAAATTTAATGACTTTTTTATTTTTGTTTTCCCATAATAAGAGGGGCTATTAAAATTTAAAGCCCTCATTATCTTAGCAGATCTAGATAAATGTTTATCTTCTTCAAGAGAGCTGTTTTCTAAACTAGAATTACTTGAATCAAAATTCAGGGATCGACTTAATCTGTATTTAACAAAACGTTTGTTTTTATATGGAACTGATCTACTACATGGTACATATCTATGTTTAAATGAGAAGTTGTCTTCTGGAGAGCTCCAAGGGATAAAGCATCTCTGATCCAATTTGCTACTACAAATAGCGTAATCTTTTTTACTCTTATCAATATTCATTTTCGCAGTCACTATGCAATCATCAAATGTAATTACAAATATGTTTTAAACATAAAGATTAACATACAAATATGTATATATATATATATATATATATAGGAAAATTTTTTTCATTTACAACTCCATAAGCTTCTATTCCTATATATATTTAGACAAAATTATAATACGTCAAGTGTTAAATTATTTCATGGCATTTTTATCATAATAAATGAGTTGTCTAATTATGATTTTGTTCTAAAATACAGATTATTGCCACTCTATAACTGCAACAAAAAGAAAAAATTAAACATTAAGCAATGTACATTTTAAAATGTTTTTAATTTTTAGTTTTAAAGGCAATCAGGTTCGTGTAATATTTATAGCAATTTTTTTAATTTTCAAATAATTTTTAGGACAAATTTAATTGATTACAAGAATTACAAAAACAAAATTTCAAACTTCTCGTTAAAATTAACCGAAATTGAATATATACAGTAACCTAAATATTGTGTACATATATCACGCCTCAATGGACGCACAAATGTATGCCATATCATGCATACATTAAATAATTCTCAAAATATAACTTCAATTACAATATATATGTATATTCGTATTAGTTAAGCTAATAATCACAATATATCACAATAAAATAATCACAAGTTAAGCTAATAATCACTTAATAATAATCACAAAACGAGTACAATTTTTACAAAAGTTACTTACCGAATTTTGAACAATGTGTTTAGAACCAAAGTAACATAAACTGACCGTCTTCGCATAGAAAAATCAAATTATCAAAAATTTTTCTTTACTGTGCCTTTCTTTTTTTTATGAATTGAACTATACATATGCAAAAATCCAGAATTCCATTTATTCAGTTAAAAATACACATATAAAAGACATTAGGTTTAATTATCAAGCACTTCACTTTAAACAAAACCTAGTATGGCTTCGCATTTCTTCTTCGGTCCCTTCAATACGTTCTTTAGCATCGATATACACATAAAATAGATGGCGCTGTATATTTTCCATGAATTGCTGTATATCCCATGTATATTCTACATATGAAAATTGTTCATATAAAGAAGAATTTTGTTATAGAATTATTTTATATTGTAATATTTTTAATTATGAGTGTGATATTAATGATAAAAACTTACAATAGCTTTAACATACAAAAAATTTTTTTTATCACATTAATCTTTTAATGAATTGAAGGACGCAATTTAATCATATTGAATATATGGTAAATATACATAATATACATATATAATAAAAACTTCAATCTATTCATTATTATATGCATTTCTTTATTGTATCTTTATCAAATTTATAAAAACCATGTAACAAGATTTTGGTATTTAAATTTTAACAATATATAAAAAATTATAATATTGAACTATTTTCAAATGGCACATTTCAACCTTTCCAAATTTCTTCATTAATAGAAGAACAAAGTCTTATTTTTTGTAACAATTATTGTGATATGAAATTTTGCTAAATATGTACAAAATTTTTATTTAGAAGTACCAAGTCCCAATGTGTTAAACTGGATTATAATATACATATACATTCATATATACATTGAAAAACATCTACTTAAAATTTTTGAAATATTTGATATCAGCTAGTTATGTTACAAAGATACTTATGATTAATTTTGTATAAGTATTCAGTCAAATGTGCTCAAATTATTCGAAATCAATAATGTAATAATACAAATGCTAAGTTTATCGTTTAAAACAATTGAAATAAAAATGCACAACAATACAACAATTAATATTAAAGTTGCGATGAACATCAATACAATGCAGAGATATGTACAGTATAAGTATAGGAAAATAAATAAGAATATAGTATATAAACAGTATGTATAAAGGTATAAGTTAAAAAGTTATACAGTTCTAATGTTAATGAAGAATAGGAAAGTATAAATGAATTACAAAATCTGATTAATTGTGAGTTCTTAATAAAATTATTTACATTTATATCAACTTTTTAAATAATTTTTTGTTCGAAAACGTTATCATTATTATTGAAACTGTACAATGAGATCGTATTCATCGAAGAAATGATAATGTAAATGTTAAAATACTTCGATGAAAAATTAAACGTGCCTAATATGGAAACTGACGATATATTCAGCATTCGTTCGTTGAACAGAAATGGCAAACGGATCTGTTGGATGAAAGGTAAATGCAACTAGTCGTCTCGCAGATGTAGGTGTTGTACGACCTAACATCCCCGCATACATTCGAAATTTTAAAAGACCAGAATCACGAGCGTAAAACCTTTAAAAATAATGCAATAGCATTAAATAATTGTGTTCAAATATTAATTGTTATTAAAAAGAATAATAATTCTACTTCTAATAATTACATGGAAGTAGTTTTAACAATCTATAGCAATTTTTCATATAAAATTAATACATCATACAACAAATTTAGTAAATAATTTCCATAAATATCAGAAATCAAATGAAAACTATACCGTATAGGATGCTCGCCACAAGCTTTGGGGCGCTCCATCATAGATACCCACTTATCGTCATAACAAAATAAGGCTAAATCTAGATATGGAGAACTTGAGTAAGATTGAGCGCATATTGGCAATTGAGCAAGTAATCTTTTTGTAGCTTCTGTAACACCACCATACCTGGCACTTATTATTGTTTGTTTAAACCTCTGTTGTAATAATCTGTAATAAAATTATAAATTAATACTATGACTTCAAGAACATATTTTACAACAAAATTGTACTATATTTTATGGATCACTGGCACTTTTTTATTAATTTCTTATTAGTAACTGTTCAAGCTTGATTACACTGGATGCGACATTTGTTTTATTTACTCAAAAGCATCAGACAATAAAAAAGAGAACAATACATTATTACCTAATGAACCATAAAAAATTAAATTTGTATAACTCTTTTATTTTATCACAATATGGAAAGTGTAAACAAATCAACGAGACTTTTATGTAAGTCCAAAAAGAAGAAACTCGAATTACTCTAAAAATTATCGATAGTTAAATAATAATGTAAAAAAATAACAAATTTATGTGGAAAATAACATTAGTATTATTATAACAAGTTATATTTTATTTGAACATTTGATAACATAATAGCACTTCCCAAAAAATAACTGAAAGTCGAATTTTACATCATTCGTAGTTCGCAACTTTTTATCTTTCGCAACTTGATTATCTTTTATTACACATTATTATCTTTTATTTTGAAAACAAATTATTTCTTCTGTTTTTATATGAATAATTTACATTTTATAATTTTTGGCATAACGAACTTTGAAGCTTCTGTATTAAAAATTGTAACAGTCCTAATAAAATTCAACTTAAATCAATATGATTAAAATTAGGAAAATCCTGCCACATTATTAACAATTTTTACATTATGATAAAACAAAAATTATAAAAATTTCACTTTTCATATATCAAATTAATAGCATAACATTTGTTGCTTTAAACATCAAAGTGCTGGTTCATATCAGTGATACAAATTGCCAAGATAATGAAGTTACATTATGTCGAATATTATTATATTTTAAGACATTACTATGTTTAGTTGACTAATAATTACATAAAGTTTCCAAAAATTATATAAGAAAATATATATATGTGATATATATATATATATATATATATCTTCATAGAATTCACTTCAAATGTCGTACAAACAATGAAAATTGAAAATTGACTCTCGAAATATAAAATTCGAAAATAATGAAAAAATTCCATGTTTTACATTAATTTATAATATACTGAAACAGAATATATGTATACTACATGTATTCTCGTAAATATTATACCTTGCATATATATTATTAGATGGAGAACACATATATTGACAGTCACCGCTCATTCTAGCATTTCTAAAGAAATCGCTGAAGTTTTCAAATTGTGTCAATAACTGTGTAGATGTATTATCATATGCAGCTAATATTTTAGCAGTAACCATATCATAAACTACCAAAAGTGCAGGTTGTACATTAGGTTCGTTCGCTTGAAGTGTTGCCACTTCTTCACTTGCAAATCTTACAAGAATATGATTTGTATCTAATAACTGCATTTTCCACATTCGTAATGCATTTAACTGAAACATTAATTTATTATGATTACATATACTTAAAGTACTATTATACTTCGAACTATTAAATTTTATACAATACTTGATCAAAATATTGATAAAAACGTCTTAATTCATATGGATCATTTGTTGTATCACTAATATATGCTGCTCTTTTATACAAGTAGACTAATAATTTATGCTTAAGACAATTTATTGTGACATCTCTAAATGGCCGACAGTTTACTCCTGGGCATGCACTTCGAACCAAATATGCATCATCCTCTAAACAAAACCTGTTTCCAATCAAAATAAGTTATTGACAATATAACAACAGTTATTAAAATAAATTTAAAACAAAAAATGTCTTTTTGTACAGATGGTACCTTCCTATGGTTCTAACATTAATAAACATTCCATCAAGAATTTGAAATATATGAATGGTTTGATGTTGTACAGACAGTACTGCCAATATATCTTTATAGAGATAGAGGCCTACATAAATAAAATCATTTGTTAAACAATCTGAAGAAGTAAAATAAATAGACATTCACAAATAACATTTAATTAATATTTACCTTGATTGTGGGACAAATATATTTTATCTACTTTAAAATGCCTAGTATCACATAATTTCCCTCCATGTAAATCAACAAGATGTAAGCTATAATCTTCAAGTGGTGATCTAGGATTTGGAGTCAGTGCTTCATTGTTAGAATAAATCTTAAAGAATAAAACTTAATATTATTAATCCTTAACAATCTAAGCTACATGATATTTTTACCTGATAAAAATGTGGTCTCAGTTCATCTGGAATATGTGCAGCTGACCCAACAATTACATAACGACCATCATCTGTAAATAAACTGCATTCTCTGTTCAATTGTTCATTACTTTGAACAACATTAACAATCCATTTAGCCTATAAATATCATAATAGATCTTGTTATTTATTTTCCATTACAACATTAATTATCCATAAGTGAAACTACATTATTAAAAAATTAAAAATAACACAATACACCTTAAAAAATCGACTAAAAATGTTTCTTCTAATGTTAAAACTACATTCGTCATTCTTATGGCCAATATATTCGCCTCCACAGCCTGCTAATAAATCAGCAGCTGCAGATGCACCACGATATTCGTAAACTTCTATAGAAGTTTGATCTGCACTAAATGCTATTAAATAACGACCATCCGGACTAAATTTTCTAAGAAAACACGGAGGTTTCTCCACATTCATAACGGTGAAATTTGGAAATACATTTTGATAAAATTGTCTGGCACAGTGCACGTGTGTTCCTGGATAAGGGCAACCAAACGTCTCACGACGTTTCAATCGTAATACTATATTCTGTGGACCTATTTTACGAGGTTTAATGGGGCAAGGTTCTGTCACGTATTCAATCTTTGCCTCCTTTTCAGCCATCCCTTGCGATTAATTGAAACATATATCAGAATATTCATTTCACTTGATGTATAGGTAGCTACGTAAACTGTGCAATATAAAAACTGTCTTCTATTCTTTTCTCTTCGTAGAAACAGATCAAACTTTCTTTTTGGTTATGTTTCATGCTTTGCTCAACCACATTTAATTTTGAAAATTAAAGTCAATTTTACGTAAACTGACAAGAGATTATCTTATTTGCAATATTATGAATATTTTTTTCAAAATTTAAATATTTGGCACAAAATCTTGAGCCATGTGTTTTCTTCCATTTTTTTTTTGTACGAAATAATTTGCTGTTAGTTTGAATATATCTTTTACATAACAATAAGTCCAACTGTTCCTCTATTTATTTTTTACTATTAGACTTTTCATATAACTCAACTAATCATATAACTCAACATAAAAATTTTCAAAATCTCAACTTGTTTCTTCTTTTTAATTTTTATTGTTATATTTATAAGAATCACTTTATTATTATACACTTTATAAGAATTACTTTATTAATACAAAGATACTATACTCATCTATAACTATGTATATATAGATCTATAATATATATATATATATCGCATACACGCATGCGCATATGTGAATCACACTAATTAACCTATATGAATTGTATAAATTTATTAATAAAGATAACATCTAGGATCATTCATATAAAAATAAAGAATAAAAATAAAAATTTTTTAATAATCTAATAACAATAATTCAATTATTAATTGAATTAATTAAAATTTTCATTCTTTTATACAATTAAATTTTTCAAATGTTTACATTATACTTTTTCAACTAATTATGATTCCTTATACATATGTATATTCTTAGTGTATAGTTCTTTTTAAAAATACATATACAATTCGTGTATATATATATATATATAATTATATATATATTTAATTATATGCAAAATATTTTTTAAAGATTCTACTACTACTTGCTTGTGTCACTACTATTGCTACTATATATTTTTGTTATCTGTTAAATATCTATAATTAGATTTTTTAAACAAAAATCATTTATTTATTTTGAAGCCTGTTTACAATTTTTTGTAATTAAATAATATTTAGTTATGTAAACTGAATACATTATTCTTTTTTTCCCCAATTACAATCTTTCACCTTTGCTCACTTGTTATATTTAAAAACAGACAATATAAAGACGTAATAATTCTTTATATTTTATTATATGTACTGTGGAAACAAATTAAATTTCACTGACTTATAAGAATAATCACTATAATGTATTATATATTATGTAATATGGCAAATTGAAGTATTTGTATACATATTGGTATTGCATAATTATTTGCTGAATTATATACTATATTGAAACCTATAAAGTTTAACATGATACGTAAACGTATCTAAATGCTATTCACATTATCTACTGTATTCATATGTCTCTGATATTTCAGCTGATTACCAGCTGTAAATTACGAACAATCAAATTTGCATCTGTACCAAACCTATATCAATTCAATAATAAATGAGCAATTTATATATTAAGCTAATATAATATAAGCTGATATTTATATTTAATTATATAATAAGGACATAAATAACACAGAACAGTACATACCCATATTTTAACAAAAATAAAATACAATTTCAAACAGATATACAAATATTATGGTCCATTTTTCATTTTTCGTAATTTCTATTACATTGTTACATAACTGATTTTTGGTGCACTTCATAAATCAATATTAATTGAATAGAATTTGTTAATAATCAAAACAAAATATAATATATTAATAACAAATTATAAAACAATACTAGTATAGACATATCGTTTTAAGAAAAAAATATAAATAAGAATATAGATATCAAATTTTTTAACACTTTTTAAATTCATATAAATATTATAATTAAATTGCATCAAAAATCAAAATTACGTAAATTAAAAAGAAAGTATACTAGAAAGAATTTGATACATAAATTTTTAATTAAACTGTACACAATTGAAGTCACTAATATTTGTTCCATTATTTTTATATATAACACTTCCTACACTTAGATTATATTACAGTATTTTTTCCTTTTTTTCTTTCTGTAAACATTATTGTATCATGTTAAATTTATTAAACATTCAAATTTAAATTTTTATAAAGAAACATACATTCTTTTTAAATTTCAGATAAGTCTGTTTAGGAAACTCCATGATCTGTGTTCTTTCAAGCTATGAAATTGTGTATATGCAACCGCGCGTAAATAAATATATACATATATATAGCAACAAGGATTAGTTTAACTATAAATACGCACGTCCTTCTTAGATTTTTAATGTTCATATCTCGTTATAATTCATGCAAAGCAACACATGCAAGTTGTAATTTGATACTGCATTATTTTTTTTCATGATTCATTACATCGTTCATTGAAGTATAAAGCTTGAAATTTATATTAATGTCGAGATACAATATTGATGAAATATATATGAGCATCGCTCTAGTGCCGGAAAACAAATTTGAAAAAAGTGAAAAATAGACGCGTGTTGTGTGTGTATATTTGTGTTTTCGGCTGGGTAAAGAAAATAGTAAGACAGGATAATCAATCTCAAATCTCACTCGATGAGTTACTACTGGAGTTATCACCACTCGAGGATGATGTTGATGGCGTTCTAGAATTGTTTGATTCATTGGTTGCCCTAGAAATAAATAAATACAATTGTAAGCCTTCTTAATATTTTTAAAAGGATATGAGAAACTCAAATTTTTATATGTTTCATATTATATTTTATACGTTTAAAAATATCAAATGCTATATTTAATTAAAATGTATGCTTTCTATAGACAAAATAGTTAACATACCTGAAGAGAGCGACTAAGCTACGTCCTACAGTATCCTGATGTACTTCTGCTGAATTTTGATTACCCAGGTGCTGTCTACAAATAGGGCAAGTACCATGCTAAATACAAAAAAAAAAGACATTTGCTGTACATACATTGGACAAAAGTACTTTTCATGAAAAGACATTTGTATTATTTCAAAATAAAATAGATCTTTTTAAATCTTTCTTTAACTTACCAATTCTAACCATGGTACAATACATGGTGCGTGATATACATGTAAACAAGGAAGTTGCTTAACTGGTTCAGAAAGTTTAAAGTCCTCCCAACAAACAGAACATTGAAGCTTACTATCTGTATATACAATTTATAAAAAACAATTTATTGTAAATATTTGTATTAATATTAAATACTGTAAATTACAATATACATATTTTACTCACCCACATGACACTGACTGACAGTTACGGTCGGTATTTCATCAATCTGTTTTCGTGGTAAGGGTGGTGGTCCAGTCCCATCAATTTGATTTAATAATTGTGTTACAATCGCATCTAAGCCATCTTGACCCCAGACATAATCTCCAGGATTTCCCAAGAACAGTCTAATATTGAATCTACATTATTGTGCTTTATTTTAGTAATACCAAATATCAAATAAAATAATAATGACTTTTATCCTGGGTGAACAAGCTTTTTAGTGCTTCTTTCTGCCATTATTCCATACTTTGTAAATATATGTTTACTTATATGTATACTGCAAATTAAATAAACATCATTTTTCATCTACTGTTTACAATATTATTCTTTATAATTTATAACTCATTGTCCTCAATACAATCATATAATCAAATACATTTAACAAATTTTATATATGTACAAAATAGATTTATTTAGTAATCGTTCGACAGAAAACAAATCAGGATTACTATGTCATAAATCATTCGAACATCTTGTAGAAAGTGTATAAATTATTATAATTTTCTCAATTTTTCATTAAAATTTTTTCCTTTGTATAGATAATCTAAAATTTTTTCCTTATTTTCATTGCTAGCATTTATTACCTTTTTTCATATAACATTTTCAAATTACTACTTTTATTTAATTTCTATTTTCTCTGACGACACATTGTATATGAACATTTGCGTGGAATCATTAAAATTATATATTATTATAAATAATGAACATACGTCTATATTTACATACACGCATCGCACACACGCACAAATAATGAAATACCAGTTTCACCTTCATGTGCTATTTGAAAAATATTATACATAAAAATAAAAAGAACTAGTATTACATAATTATATATAATATCTAAAAATAACTTATTAATAAAAAATAATTAAATACATCATCAAAAGTTTACTTTAATTTCATGAAAATAATAAATAATACTTGTATTTAACGATATAACTTGTATCTATAACCATAATAAAAACTTGTATTTAATTTTTTCTTAATAAATACCATAATATCCTGTTTTGTATGCCAAACAAAAAAGTTTACATGCAAATTTACATGAATTAAAACTGAAAAATTGCTTTTGGATTCACTCAGGATAATGTTTTACATAAATAACATACAAATTAAAATCATTTTACATAAAATAAGACTTTCTTATTCGCATTGTTCAAATTAATTTGAAATGCCTTGCAAACTTTCGCATCGTATACATATTTATAAATATTACGTAAATAATAACCACATAATAAAAATTATTATACATACACAGGTAGTTGTGCAGCTTGTGCTACTCCTTCCGAGAGATTAAGTATAAAATCTTGTATGAAATTCTCTACAGACACAGGTACTTCTTGTCTGCCACGACTGCTGTTCAACATAAAAATTACAATTACATGTATACACACATACTGCAAAATTAATAATGAGACTAATTATATTCGTTAACTTTCATTTCTGCATAAATAATTTTTCATTTTTTTTCATTTTTTTAACAGATTCAACCAATAGCAAGTCAATTTTCAATTTTCGTCTTCAATATATTTGACACAATTCAAATTAAAATGATAAAACATATCATTACATAAGAATATAAACATATAGCTTAATATATTATATATATAAGTCAAGAAAACAAACAAAAAGATTTCAACATATGTACATTCAACACATGTACTTCTGAAAAATTATAAGTGATGTACCTATTAGAACGACGTGTGTCTTGAGCATTACGCGACCAATGAACTCGTCTTCTACCAGCAGGACCATTATTTCTATTAGAACTAACTGGTGTTTCAGACTGATTGGAAAACTCCATTTCATATTCCCCTCCCAAAGGAACATCTGCATAACGTTCTAAAAGCTACATAATAAATATTTAATCAAAATAACAATTAAATCTGTGTATTAGAGTATAATGAAATTACAAAAGAAAAATATTAAAATTTCATAATTTATGTTCATATCACTTATAATGCTACTGACTATAACACTATTCATTATTATCAATCAAGAAATTGTATTTACATCATCTATGTCATTACTAATATGCATTCTAGAGCCACTGTCACTACTATCACTTTCCAATTCTTCTATGAAACCACTCGAACATCTTGGACATGTGTAATCCTAAAAGATAGATAAAACATTACATTGAACGATAATCAACAATGATCGTTGCGTTATTACAAGGTATTTCATAAAATAATTTTGTAAATAGAAAATAACTTGAATCTTCTCAAGTCTCTTCTCATGTATCTGTTAAGAAGACATCTGTAGATTTAATAGGTCAATAAACAAAGTATAATTTTTATATATTTTTCTTTTTTTTTTAGAAAATATTTACTTAAAATTACTCATTATACAATGTTCAATAATAAAGAAACATATTGCGTTAACCTTGTTTTTTAAAGAAATTTATGATCAATATTAACGAAAGTATCTAAAAAATAAGAATTAAGGAAATAGGATATAGGAGTATTTAAAATACATATTCGATCTAGTGAAGTTCTATACCAAAGTAATATTATCTTTTATAACACTCAAGCGTCAAATGATTTTAAGACGGATACGTAATGGTAGTAAGTAAAAATATAGAAAATAACGAAAGAATAATAATATTTGTATGATTTTTCTATATGGAACAAAAAAATAGGAGGAAAAAAGCTTTTGTCGCGTGATACCAAGTGACAATTCGAAACAAAAAATTTAAGGTTTTATAAATAGAGTTTCGTTTAATAGCACGAGCTATTAATGTGAAAAGATGGATAAATGTACTTACAGGTAATAAACGTTCAATTTCGATACTGCATTTGTGACAAAAAAATCGGGACATTGCCCCGTCTACAACGGCTTCCGCCATCTTTTGCGTGTCCTCTTTGCTCCTCTTGCCTATTTCTGACTATCGTGATGAATCGTAATCCGTCACAATTCTTGGTGTACTTGATTACGTTTTATGCGAATGCCGAAACTGAACTGGAAAACTACTGATTTTAATAGATACTTTTACATAGCGCGAGATGGCGTTTGATTAAATTAGTCGATTGCGCATCAATCTTTCATTATTACGTTCGATTACAGTCCTTTAGTTATTTTGTTGTTTTCTAACTTCTATTCAAATTTGAATCTTTTTCTCAAATATTGGTTTTTATGACACAGTAGCTTTACGACTTCTTTTTACGATCCTTTATTTTTATTATATATGAAAACGTTTGCTGACCGAGAAGACTAAATTATCTTCAAAAATATTTTCCTTTTTTTTCGTATATAATAGGAATCTTTTGCTTTCCATAGTAAAAAATATTTCAGATGTATGTAATAATTAATTATTTTATCGATCGTTAATGCATACGTACATACATATCGCTCGTAGATTTCAAATGCATTCAAAAATATATATTATAGGTTAGGTATGTATATTTGCGCATGCACGCGCGGATGTACATGTACAACACTTGATCATTTATTTAACTATTCATTTTTATTCAGGAACTGTGCAAAGAAAAAGAATGTTAATTAAAAGTATACTCTAGTAATAAATAATCTTTGAAAAAATATGTAATATTCTTGATATGATATTCATTAAAAATCATTATCTAATTATGAATACATTACATATATATTGCGTAAAACTGGACAGAGAGCATTCTGTTTCTACAAAAATAAGCTACATACACAAAAAACATTTTTTCATTAAAGACTTCATTTTTTAGGAAATCCTGTTTGAAAATTTATCAGTTTTATATTTGAATTTGACTAATTCCGGACCGGACAAGTGTGAATACTCGATTGGTTATTCTATATGCGAAAATAAGTGAAGAGAATGTAGAATAGAATTTTCCCATTTAAAGCTTCGTTTTCAAAAGAAACATATTTTAAGCATATTTAATAAAATACTGGTACGTGTATACTTGATAAATTTCCAAATTTATGAGACATGTCTTATGAAATAATTTTATTCCTCATCTTTTGTTCATTTTCCAGTGTAGAATAACTTCAGGTCTGTCGTCCAGTCTGAAATTAGCCAAATTCAAATATATTTAAATATTTAAACTTGATTTTTTTAAGAATGTGAGCGTAAATGAGAAAAATGTTATTCTTTTCGATTCTGACCTGTACAAACACCTTGTGTATACAAACATCATTTTAGGTATGTACAGTGTTCATATATTATTTTCGACTAGAGATATGCGTGCATATTTTTAACTATGTCTTTTCTTTACCACGTCTTTGACTATATTTAAATTCGTCAACCTTCATATGAATATTTACATAATTATGAGAAATTTAAAAAAGGGAAGGAGAAAACAAAAAAATATTAAAAACGTTATTTCAATTACAAAAATTTCGTATTAAATTATGTTAACATGTTTTGATATTTTTACATTAAAAATTTTTATTGACATTTTTCATTGTAAATCTTCTATCGACGGTTGTAAAATTAATTGTAAAGTAAATTAAAATACTCTTCGAGCAAAACAAATAAATGAATACAAGATTAGTTAAATTCAGTGCAACAATAGTTAATAACGAATAGATTATGTAAAGTACTGATTTATTACAATCAAACGATAGTCTATTGACACAAATGTTCTAATACAACTTATATCAATTTATAATACCTCACTTACATAAGTAAGCGTAATAAAGACTTTATTCTAAACCTACTCAGATAAATATATTACAATATTTTATAGATCACTAGAACAATTAAGTAATTCAAATTTTTGTACCGTTTGAACTACAAGAGTTTTGAACGTTTCTCAAATTTATTTCAAGTACCCGCTTGTACTTTTTTCGCCGAGCAATTGTATGTATATAGAAAGAGATTTATTATATAATGAACACATTTTTTTCAAAAATGTAATATAGTCGAGTTTAATGAACACACGAAATACGTCGATTATCATAAGAAGAGATTTCGATTTTCACAGACATTTTGCTTATAGTTGAAAGCATACGTATACTTGCATATGATTTTTGTTTTATGTATGCTTCGATTCCTTTTGAATGTAATTTTATTCATGAAGTTGATTTCAGAACTGTCTCCTATTACTACAATCTCCCAATTATGTGTATGCCTAATATTTTCATTTAGACACAGATTCAATTAAAAAATCAGTTGCATATACGAACTTTACATAGCGAAATTAATTTATTTTCTTTAAAAAGAAGACAAAAAAAAAAAAATATTTGATACATTTTTATTCAAATTATATCAAATGATTGTTATGAAACATTACATTTCACGCAGCCGTCTTATACCCTATTTTTTCCTTTTTTTTTTCTGTATCTTAATGGTTATAATTGTAATTAGAAATTATCAAAGATAATTTGTAACTGAATATAATGTAATAGTTCCATGTTTATCACTGTTGTTTATTGCGATATTTCAATAACTATCAAAACTCAAAGTCTAATAATTCCATATTTTTAAAAAATGATTATAACAGATTCAACTATTAAATAATTAATTTAATAACTAGAAACGCATTATTAATTTCACAAATGAAATATATATATTTAAAATTTTTTTCCATATAGATATCTGTACAGATTCCATCGACTTATGTATACATATTTCGACATATGTATTTCAATTAAAACAAATAGATACAAAATTTGAAAGAATTGTTAAAATTTCAATTAGTCTTATATCAAATAGTATGCGTTTCAAATAATCAAATGCAGAAATATTAAAAGAGCTATTTAAAGTTATGAATTTAAAAAACGAGTTTAGTATATAGTATTTTAGCGTTACAATTGATAAAGAATGCGAAAATGTTCATAATTAAATACTATAAATAAATAAATAAATTCAATAAATAAGTTCATAAATAAATTCAATAATTGCCAATGACAATTATAATGTCAAAAATATGCATAGTTAAGTTTCATTAAATCAAAAACATTTTAGATAAATTAGATATACCTATGTACATACATACATATGTATTATGAAATGCAGTTTAACATAGAATCATTATATTATGAATTTACGATAACATAGATTAAAATTCTTGGTATTGTGATAGACGCAATAGAAGATTATATTATAAAAAAACCTTTTTTTTTTTTTTGGTTACCAATATTTTTTGCTCGTTTTTATATATTCCACAATCTCTTTCATATTTTGAAATTTACTTAAGTATCCGTGCACGCTAATATGTATTATTTACAAAAATCAAAATAACGAACACTTCAAACAGATCTATTTTTCTTTCATACTAATAGAATTACATATGTAAGTTGAAAGTTGAAAATGAGCATTAGAAGTGTCATAAACTAAAAAGTACTAAAAAAATAATTTTTATTTTATCGATGTCTATTTTATACATATATGGAATTCACCCATTTACGAAATTCATAATGAAGAAATCGCAGATTTTTTTAAGGGATATAAGTTTGAATGTGTTTACTCAAGTTAAACACATATATAAAGTAATAACCAACACGAGGATTGCATTATTCTACTAGATGAATATAATTATAACAAAAAATTACTTCAATAATTAATTTGATATTTTTAAATGTTAATTCTTATATACACATATAATTATAATTAATGTAATACCTTTTAGGTATTGAATTTTGTTTGATTAATCCTAAACACAAATTTTACCTTCTGTTAATTTAAAATTTTTATTAATACTATCTATGTAGTATTATTCAGCTGGTGAAGTGTTTTACTTTGCCTATTAACTATAAATGATTGTCAATTAATCAGTTTACCAATTTATTAATTAAGAATTTTGAAAGAATTAAAATATTTAATTATATTTTATACATTATATCAAAAATTTATGTGCTATATCATAAAAGATTGTACATTTAGTTTGTTATTATGAATGATGTAAATATAATGGCATAGTAACACACTTTTTATTGAAATTGATTAAAAAACACATACCTTTATTTTTAAGTTATTTCAATGTCATAGTCTTATGAGACATTAATGTTATTTCCTATACATATTATGAAAATTATATAGTTTTCCATAGAGTTTTTTTATGAATATTATATTGTGTTACATAAAATAATATTGATATCTTACAAGTAATTTTAGAGATAATCTTTAAAGCAATTTTTTGTCACTGTTACATTCATCCATCTGAACTTATCCAATATTTCCTCAATTAGTTATATTTTTTTTTTCATATCTTTAATTACAGCCAGACAACAAAATATACTCTTTGTATATATTCAATTAATATAGGATGATAAATATATGCAATTTAATTATCAAAGAAAATCGACAACAATAATTATTAATTATTTTTTTCAATTGATTTTTACATTTCTATATTTTTTGGAATACATAAACAATAATTACGTAAATAAATATATATTTCTGTATGAAATAACAAATTTTTATGAAAATAATTACAACTGATATAAATATATTTTTCATACAATTAATTAATTATCCAATAGACTAAAATATTTTATAGATATAACAAAAATAAAAAATAACATAAGAGATTAAAATGGTGATGAGATTAGTCATAATGATAGTAAAATACTTATTATTTTTGTTAACATAGTATCAATAATTAATCTTCTAAAACTTACATTATTACATATTTTATAGAATTTTATTAAACATTTAACGTAATAATATAAAAAAAATTGCATTGTGATAGGGATTTTAATAAACATACAGCTCTGATTTGATTCAAATTGGAAATATTTTGCTATCATTAAATATGATCAGTCTGATTCTTAAATTCTATTCATAAATTGTCCATAAACTAAAATATTACAATTATCAGAAACTGCATGCTTTAGAAGACCATTGTCATTTTATATTTTGTTTCGTACGTTAAAAATTATTAATCGCTGATCAGAAACAGTGAATATTTCACTTATTTGCAGAGCATATTAAGTATGTTATCACAAATAATTCCTAATAAGTAAAATTTTTGTTCTCACTTCATATAAAGTATAATTGTATAGACTTAAAAATGTTTGTCTTTGTATCAAGATGTTAAGATCAGTCATTAGAAATTTTCATCATCTTATGTGAATATTGAATGTATAATTTTGATAACTACGATCATACTTCCCATTAAAAATTACGACAAAAAATGGAAGTAAAAGATTTTCCTGAGTCTCAATTTATGTTTTAAGACAAATGTTACATTTTGTGTGCGTAATACAATAACAATACGCTCACACACATAACACTGAAATATAGAAAAGAGAAAAGAGTCAACATTTACATAATTGGAAGAAATATGATACGTGTACTGCCGTTAAAGTTGATTCATACTATTTGGACCAATAGATCTGTTTCAAGCATATGTACAAATTGCCAAACTACTTTCATCATTTAATTTACTGTACAATTATGTGTCATACTAAATGAAAGTTAAAAATTAATTAATGTATTAAAAAATTAACTAAAATGAATATATTTATATAATTTTGATATAACTTGGTGGTTGTACTCAATATTGATATGTATTCTTAAAAGACTTCAAAACATATATATTTGTGCACTGCACATTATACATAATGGATTTATTTTTGACTATTTTTGCCAGAATACCAGAATATGGAAATTTAACTAGAATATCATGTTTAGATAACATAATTAAATAAAGACTCCTGTACTAAAATTTTCATAAAAACATGTTATAATAATAAGATAATAGAATATAACGGTGTAACAATATTCGAATAAGTTATCAAATTGCCATTAACTTACCTGCAACCTTCATATTCTATTCTACATTCACTTTTCTTTTACATTATTGAATAAGTATTGAAATTATTGAAATTATTGTAAATAGATATTGAAATTAATAATTGTTAATTAAATCATAAAAGTGTACATGTAACAATGAGTATAATGTGAAATAATCTGTTCTTTATATTTTATTGCGTTATTCAGTTTCAAGACAATGCTACTGTTCTTGTTAAAAAAAATTTGTTCTTCAACTCCGCAAGAGATAAAGCCACAAAAATTTAATTTTGAATTTTTTCGATGAATCTTTAACAAATGATATGCATCGAACATAATTAAAAAAAGATTCTAAAGATATAAATAATTATGTACCTAAACATATCGAAATTGTAAGTTCCTATGTATTAAATATATCTAAACTTTGCTCTCAAAGTTTAATAACATGTAAAGAAAAACTGTGAGAGCAAAAGTGTGACTCACTCATTTTTATAGGTCATACATAGTCGGAATATATACAGTGAACAAGATAGAAAAACTTTCACTGTAACACTGAAATTCGATGATATAATACTCTTTAACGACAATATAATACTGTTGTCTGCAACGCAATAAAATATGAACATTTTTTTATCTATTGTAGTATTGAATTTTGATCGATGGTAGTGTATTATAAATCATTTTAATAGTTATACGCTGCATAGGAAACACATAACTGCAATCAATTTTCATCCGAAGATTCCGTAGAACTTTGAGGCATGGGATTGAACCAATTTTCTCGAACGCCAGTGCTCCTAAATACAAAAGAGTATTGATAAAATTTAAGGTGCCTAATAGTATTAATATAAACTTACATTGTTTACTAATTTAGAAAAAATTTAGCTCGAATTAGGTAAATAATAAAATTATTACAAAGACATGGAAACAATAAATATAATAGAAGGCAAAAGAGAATGAAAGAAAGATATAAGTTTTATATAAATATTGTACTATAATAAATTGTCAAGCTGATATCACTTTTTTCTTCACACGATATGTTATTACAACCATTAATAAGTCTTAATTATTTTAAAATGATTTAATATTAATTACCTTGTTCGTTGACGGGTACTTATAGGCAGTGTGAGTGAAGTTCTATAATACTGAGGAGTAGCATTTGAAGCTGTTTCATCTGGTCTTCTATGTAACGTCATAGTTTCGTGCGGAGATGTAATTAATTCATCTTCGTTATCTAAGTAATAACGAGAACCTGTTGCGCTTTTACAATTTTCACATTCACTTCTATAATCATCTGTATCATCATGAAGAGTAGAAAGGGCTTGCATACTACAAGTGCATGCCACTGATTCGAAACTTCCTTCTTCATTAATCCCATTAGCTATATTTAACGGTGGCTAAAACGTATGAAAAACATAAGTATATTTGAAAAATGAACATTGACAACATTATAAAAATAGATATCAATATAAAATTTTGCACTACTGTACCTTAAAATCATGAGATTTTAATTCTATTTTATGATCCAATGGTTGTCTTTCAATTTGTTGCAATCCAGAAGATGATGCAGAAGAGGGTTGTATTTGTATATCTTCACGAAGTGTATCTGAATTTGTATTTTCCCTTGAACTTTCTAATTTGGTTGTAGCATCTTGTTGCGTAGGATGCAGTAAAGTCGGCGTAGTAATATCGGTCGTTATCGTAGATCGTAAAAATTCTTTTTGAGTGCAATCATTTATAATATCTTGTAACTTTGCACCAGCACGAGTTGTTAAAGTCCTAGGAATTGTACGATGAGTAGTCACACTAGAATTTGGCAAGGTTGCGGATATTGTAAACGCTGCAGTTTGACGAGGAAGAGTAGTATGCGTTTGATAACTTTTCGGAATAGTAGATTGTTGTTGGGTAAAGTTGGGCAAAGGTTGTGCAGTTACATCAGGACGTTGATTAACAAAGTTCGGAATTCCAATGGGAGTAGGTAAATTCTCGTAAGTACTTGTTCCCATTGTGAAACTCGTCGTAGAAGTTCCTACACTAACACTCGGAGATAGCGCTTCATTTTGATTCGACTGCCGATAACTAGCATATATGTTTGGATTCGATATTGGTCTATTTGGTGTTGAGATTAAGCCACTTTGATCCGTTATACCACTGTCGCAAATTAATGTTGATGAATTGCGATTTATACCACTTTGTGTGCTTCCTACTAAGGATATACTTGTACGACTATTAGTGTTTGGCAAATAGGTGTTTGGAAAATTTAATTGTGGAAGTGTTTGTGGGTTCATTGATAAAAGAGCTTGTTCTGCTCTCGCTGCTGCGACTGCTTCTTCATAAGGTGGTGGAGCTTCACCACGTGGAAAGTAATTGCTAGGTGGCTTCCATAATGGATAACTAGCTCCACATGGAATATCATCCATAGGAACACCATGCGATAGTCCATCTCGTTCTAAATATCCCATACTACCTAAATTTCTTTGGTCCTCTGCTAACTGTCTGTTCTGTCTTCCTGCCACGCAAACTTTCACAAAATAATAAAAATTTTTTATCTGTTATTCTAAAATAAGAACACTTGACACACATTGTAAAGGAAAAATACCTCGTATCTTTCTTTGGCGCAAACGATGTATTAAAAAAAATAATAAACTCAATGACAACACAGCTGTTACAAAACTAGCAACAGATCGTAGCCCTATGTCGTAATTTGTAACAGCATCAGTCGTGTTGCTACCAATCCCATCAGATTTGTCATTTGGTATAGACAACAATGTATCATCCAAACAGATATACTGGCAACAGATATGCCGGGAAGATTTACAATATTCCTGTGCATAGAATTAATTTTTCAGTCATGTGGAAAGAAAATGATATCAAGCACAAAGCAATATGATTATTTTAGCATTTGAAATACCTCTGCATACTTGCAAACAAGTGCTTTACACCACTTTGGATTGCCATTATCACATACACACAATGTACAAGGTTCTGGACCAGGAATGTATATAAAAGTATTTTCATAGGATCGTCCTTGTTGATCTTTGCAGGAGACACCGCTTTCTGCATGAATAACTGCAAAATATTTATAAAAATATTCATAAAAACATTTGTTCATTTATTTAATTACCGTATGATGAAATTACAAGAAATTAAATTAATTAAATTAATCTGTAGATTAAACAATTATTTAATCACGTTTTTGCCAATTTGTGTCTTATTTGTTTGATACTGTTTTGCAGATCATAAATATATTTGAAATCACAGTTTATACGAGAAATTTATATTTTATTAATAAAAAAAAAAAGAAAAGAAAATGGTACGCACATATCGTGATCAAGTAAGCAGGTGAGCAGCAATACATACATGCATCACACGCACGTTACGTCAATCGGAGAATCTATCAAGTAGCGAGTATTAAAAACTAAACGCTTAACACACAAACATTGAGAAAAATAAAAAAATCTGTGGAAATGTTAAAATGATAAAAAATCTACACCGATGCAATGGAAAATTTTTAAAAAATGATATATAATATTTCATTATTTCATTAAGTCGTAACTTTAAGGGAAAGATTTCTTCTTCTTCTTCTTATTGTTATTATTATTATTATTATTAATTAGAATGAAGCATGTAAAATAAAAAGACTAAAATCAATGTAACGAAAACAAAAAAAAAGTAGAAGAAATTTGATCGAAACAAATCGAAAGAACTGTGTGTACAGAAGTGAGGAAAGAAAAGCATTCAGATTGAAACAAACAATAGAAAAATCGGATATAAATAATAAAAGGAGAAGAAAGTGTCATGTTTGACTCACCGTTAAAAAATAGAATAAACGCGTAAACTGCATAACCAAGAAGGTTACTGCCACTGTATTTCATTCTGCGTTTGTTATCTCATCATAATCGTAACCACTCAGAGCGGTGCAGCAACGAAGCGAGAGGATATCGTTGGACGTTTCAAATGGTGTTTAGTTCCGATGGGTTGCTGTTGGTCCTCAACATTTTTCACGACACAATCCCAACTGACATTCTGAGCCAGAACACCTGTATCATAAGCGATTTATATAGGAGCAACAGTTATTTTGCACACACTTGCATATCTTAGAAACACTTCTTTTACTCACAAGTAGCCTTGTGCAGTACGCGTCCTCCCAAATAGGCACACCAACTTGCATCTACTTTGCACTGACTCCCGACACCCGGAATGATCGATTAGTAAACGGAGCAGCTATCGGTGTCGAGCACTGATATCGTAACTACCGCCATCTTCGAGCCATCCGTTGAACTTTCTACGAGCAATACTGTTATTCTTCTGTCTGTCAGTCATCGCGCCGTCACAGACAAGGTATATGAAGAGACCTTACATATTTTTTCGGCCCATGATTGGGGGGTCTAAGGACCATCTTACCATTTTCGTGTCACATCCTGTTGTACCGATTCAGGCAAGTTTTGCACTGCAGCACTACTAGTGATGAAAATTAAAATTAAAAAATATGAACAGTATTGCCACATCTTGCTTGAGAATCATTTATTGAATTGAACGTGGTGGTACTTCATCAGTGAAGGAATATAACGATTTAGAACAGATGAAAACTGCGATGAAAAATTGACCATATATTCGACTATTCGATTACAATATCCATTTAAAAGTATTAATAAATTTTAAAAGTATTTATAATATTGATAGGCAAAGTAGTTTATAGAAAAATGTCGAATAATATTTTAATTAATAAGAGAAATTTTTAACTAATGAATTGTAGAATTGATATTATTTGTCATATCCACTGTCCAATTTGCACTGCATTGGATAGTTATAATAAAATTGTTAAAAATTTAATATAAATTTGATAATTTAATATTGATAATAATTCAAAATTGTTTTTACGAATATTTAATAAAATATAAATCATTTATATCTAAAACCATGTATTAATAATTTAAAAATTTTAATTTACTACATATTTAAAAATCGTAATAAATCCGTAAAACATGGATAAAGCTGTTTCTGACATATGTACATTTAGTAAAATGATTTCGGTTAGTTACTAGCTTCACATTTCAGTATTGAAAGTTGACAACACTGTAATCGGTTTCAAAAATCATATTTTTGGCGCATTCCCTACTTGACCAACCTCGATCGTTTTACTTGATGTAATTCCCTAATTTACCGTTGTTTAAACGTAGAGTGCGCTAAAAAACCAGTGATTTCTTTTTTAGTATGTCGGTATTTCAGGTCACGGACCACGAAACCCCGTAAGGTGCTTGATCTATTCATATATCTTGTCTGTGGCGTCGTTCCTCGATTACCTTACCTTAGCCACTGCAATCAAATATTCTCTCGTCTACGTGAGCATATGATCTATTGCTTTATCATGCAAACACTTGCAAATTCTCTTTTTCTCTCTTATTTTTTTAACCTTCTAACGCACAAATTTCATTACAAAATGAAACTGATTAAATTCTGTTGTAATAAAAAACAGCGAAACGCGTAAGATACAGGATGTCCTGAACTTAAACGGTTAAATTGTGAAAGCTTGATCTGTACGTAAAAAGAAAAAAATGTTATATAAAATTTATCAGGAAATGCATGGTTATAACAGAGTTACAAATAAATATTGTATGAAATAGATAGCTACGCATTTTTCTTTAACATTTGATTTTTACTTTAAAACAAAAGATGATTTATTCAACGTATGTAACTTCATATGGAGAACTAGTTGTAAAGAATTAGAAACATAATTTTATTGAAACTCAGCAAAATTCTTAAAAACTTAATAGTGTTATATTATATTAACTCTATTATTCACCAGTTTCATCAAATTCGATGGGATTGAGAATTAATTTTTTTATTGTATTACTATAATTAATGATACGAAATTGTTAGCACATGAATAAAGGCATATACGACAGTCTAATGGAAAATGCTTCGTTACTTACATATTTCATGTATTCAATATTTATTCATAATAAAATTTGACGTCGAACTTTATATGACATCCTTTTCTTCTTTTTGTGTGTAGATTATCTCGCAATTTGGTCGCGTAAGTTCGGGACACCTTGTATGTATATATATATATACGCATGGATATCAATGGATGATTAAAATCAAATCAACCACTAAATAATCAACATACGTATATATTACAGGCACATGCATTAAATAATTGAATTAATTTTTACGTTATTAATTGATTACATATATATTGTATGTATGCATCGATATATGAACACAAGATGTATGGAATGTATGTAGTCTATACTTTCAAAACAAAACAGATTCTTCTAACTTATGTTTTTTAACCTATCATGTTACAACGACCTTAAGCCGTACAAATGTACAAAAATGTACAAAAATTTCAAGTAGTTCATACTCATTTTTCATAAATGAGTTTGAAGGAACATCCCGACATATAAAGAACAAGAGAGTAGAAAAAAATATCTTAACAGTTTGCATCTTCGAACAAATTTACAGATTGTAATTGCACGTCAGGTATGATCAACGTCTTCTTACGAAAAAAGAAAAGACAATTAATCGAAAATATATATACATATCGTTCATAATAAAATTACGACCAGGATGATAACAAAATATTGAAGAGTATCCATGCGAATGTTCTATTATAATATGCGCATGTTCTATTATAATCATATCTTTATTATATTATATTGCATCGCATTTATTCTAAATAAATTTATTGTAAATAGATTGTTATTCATAGAAAGAAACATGGAAAAAGACGATGATTCTCCCGAGGACGTTAAACGAGCCACTTCTGTCGAGCGTGAAATAAAGAAAGGACAAAAAGATGATACGTTCGAAGGTTATCCGCGAATAGTAGAAAAAAAGAAAAGATGGGAACACTGTGATAAACCAGCCTTAAAAAAACCTAAGGCAAATCGAATTACAACTTTCAACATTTTGAAATAAATTCGTTTTCTACTTTCATTATTGGACAGCTTGTTTTTGTAATAAAAACGAATCGCGTTAATTTTATACATTAAATTTCCTCGAGTAGATTAATCATTTTAACGAGAAATATTTTTAAATTAAGAAAGAATTATATACATATATGCATATATAATTATGTATATGTTGTATTTATACAATAGTTTGTTTGACGCAATTTAAATAATTCGTAACTACAGCTTAATGTCACTTGGTTTTGCTTTTCTTTTTAATTGTTCAATTAACGCATATTGAGAGTATTTTATTTCCCTGCTGATTATTTTATTTCCTTGTTGTAAACCAATTCTTTAATTTATTTATTGGCATTTATTGATATTAATATATTGTAATTTCACGGTGAATTTGTCCAGTAGCATATAGAGAAATCGAGCGACGAGTGCTGCCAAAAACAAAGAGGAAGAAGGAGAAAGGCCGAAAAATTCATAATGGTTTCAATGTTTGAAGAGGCCTGTACATTTCCAAAAATGGACATCATACCTAGACACTGTCTAACAAAGCAAGATTATATCGATATGTTGGCCACTCCAAGGTTCGGATATCGATCAACAATAACATTTTAACTGATTTCTATCTTACGAAATTCCATATCTCATTCCGATATCTTACTCTACGGAATTCCAAACCTAACGATAAATTCTAATATTTTTATATAGACGCAAATGTCCGCCAGAGTGTGGCAAAAAGATGGTACTTAGAAAATTGAAACCTGTATCACCGCGAATCAAAGAATTGGCCCAACCGTCAAGACAACGAATGTTAATGACTTTACAACAAGGCGCGTCGATATTACCCCCGGCTCTTTTGGACAATTTAGTCCGAACCATAGAGAAAGAAACTTGCTTAACTCCTGAGTAACGTATCAATATCTTATTAAACAGTTTCTTAAGTGAATAATTTCACTGTCTTTCATTTATATTTTTAGCTTTGCTTCGTTTTTCACTGAAAAGTATATAGGTCGATCAAAAAGTAACTGAACCGTCTTCATAAAAATCTTATTAATTAAAGAACTTAAATCTCGATTCTCTTCGAAATAGTTCATTCCTGAACTTTGATTTCATGTTTATGAATAAGAAAAAATCATGTAAAACTAAAAATAGGTTCAGGAAAAACGCAAACATGTTTTTCGAACACAAAGATCAAGGCAATAAATTATTCCTTACATACATTGAAATGTTCATAACTAAATACTTGGCATATTGATATGCAAGAGTATAGATTAGTGCTTCGTAGAACTATCGAGTATTTTTTCCTGAAATATCGATACAGTCTGGTTATTTTTTGATCCTTATGTGTTGAAGCACTACGTATTGAAGTATCGTCGAGCTCACGAATGTGAAATATTTTTTGCAGGCAAGCTGCGAAAATTTCACGCAAGAAAAAGGCTCGCAGAAAGAAAAGAAAAGGAGGAACAGATAAGTGGCAATATAAAGAGGCAAACAAATCAAAGAAACCGGGCGGTGGTATAACGCCTGGTGCAGGATCTTTCGATAAAGATTCAGTCTCTTGTCAATACCTTATGGCCGAGCGTTTTGTCCGAAGTATTTTAAAATGGAAGTGTTCATATCCCAAGTCGGAGTTCAACGATGTTACGGAAGTGATAGTTCGACGTTTGGTAGATATTCTCGAATACAGCCCTCCGCAAGACGAAGACCGTAAATCGCAACAACTGCGCTATTTGGCCGATGTAATAGCTTGTTGGATAACCGGAGTGTTGACCGAGGTTGCGCAGTATCAAGAGGAAAAACTCATGGAACAATGTAAGAAAAAAGAAGAGGAAATGAAAATAGATGAAGAGGAGGAGGACGAGGACGAAGACGAGGAAGATGAAGATAAAGATCTAAGAAGATATGAAGATGATTACGATCGTGAACCAGATTTAGACTGGGAAGAGGATAAAAGACCAATAGATAAAAAAATAAAAAAAAGAGAAGTTGTGTCGAAGCTTGAGAAAGAGATGGAAGAAGATGTAACACCTGAAATGGATGATAAAGTAGTGGAAATAGAATTACCGGTGGAAATGGAGACAGAAACTCAAGTAGAATCAGAAGAGCAAGTGGAGACGGAAATGCAAACGGAACCAAAAGTCCAAGTTGAAGTGGAAGTAGAAACTCAATTAGATACAGAAACGGAAGTGGAAAAAGAATTAGAAATAAAGTTAGAACCAGAACCAGAACCAGAATTAGAATCAGAACTCAAATTCGAACCAGAACCAGAAGCAACAGTAGAAATAAAACAAGAACCAGAAGCAACAGTAGAAATAAAACAAGAACCAGAAGCAACAGTAGAAATAAAACAAGAACCAGAAGCAGAACCAGAAGCAACAGTAGAAATAAAACAAGAACCAGAACCAGAACCAGAAGTAACAGTAGAAATAAAACAAGAACCAGAACCAGAATTAAACCCAAAACTAGAATTAGAAATCGAATCTGAACCAGAACCCAAAGTCGAACCTGAACCAGAAATCAAAGCCGAATCAGAATCAGAAGCCAAAGTCGAAGGTGAACCCGAATCAGAACTTAAAATCGAACCTGAACTAGAAGCAGAAGTAAAACCAGAACCAGAATCAGAACCAGAACCAGAACCAGAACCAGAACCAGAACCAGAACCAGAACCAGAACCAGAACCAGAACCAGAACCAGAACCAGAACCAGAACCAGAACCAGAACCAGAATTAGAACCAGAACCAAAACTACTAGAACCAAAACCAAAACTACTAGAACCAGAACCAAAACTACTAGAACCAGAAGTAAAACCGGAACCAGAACCAAAACTAGAATTAGAACCACAAGTAGAACCAGAGGTAGAAAGAAAAGAGGAAGAAGAGGAAGTTGAAGAACTCTTAGATGAGAAAGAAATTGAAGTACCTCCAGTTGAAATGAAATTACCCAAAGACATAGATATTATCGAAGGATTGAAGGATTTAGAAGAATTGTTTAAAACCGATCTTCCTTTTCTTACGTTCGACAAGATTATCGATACCATCTATAAAATGATCGAATGTATGCCAGAGAATACGGGTGAGGATCCAATAACAAATGGTATACATCGTGCAATTTACGAGAAATTAAGCAATATAGTGAGACTGGAAAATCCAGACCTTTTAACAGAAGAACTGAAGATTATCATGAACGTAGTGTGCGGAAAGATCGCCAATTGGTTGAGATCAATACTAAGCAAATCTCAGATTGCATTTATGGAAAAATACATACCAGAAGTGGAGTCTAAAGAAATTAGAGATTGGACCAGATGGCTCGTGTACATCAGTGACGTGGCTAAAGATTGGAATATATGGTTGCGGAGCATAATCGAGAAGCTATTGGAAATGGAAAGCGAGAAGATCACTCGCGGAGAATGGCAAGATTGGACAAGATCTTTCGATACTAAGGCTTTGCTTTGGAGACGGTTTCACCTACAAACTTTGCACCAAGCACATCGTAACGTTACAATGTTGATTGGTCGACATGTTGTTAAAACAGGAACGAAACGCATGGTTCCTGATATATCTGAGCAGTTAATTAACGTTACCGACCTACGCACTTGAAAAACATCATCCCGAATATTCGTTTTGTCATTTTCTTCGAATTTATATATTATAAACAGAAGAGCAGTCACGCGTGCGGACGATCACATTTATTTATCACACCCACTATAAGGTGGAATTCAAGCCATATGCATGTAATACATTAAGCGCAACACCATTCGGTTAGATGTCTATAACAGTGTACAATGTTATCGGTGTGTTAATTGAGACGTAAATGAATCGCTTATGAAAGGCACAACCTCGATCGAAACTCGTCGAAGCTCGTGAAACGCCTCCAACTTTCAAGTTCATCATTTGACGACGAATACGTTAACCTACTTGAAATTCAATAGATGTATATCTCAACGAAGTGGAAACAACAATCAAAATAGGAAGAAACGTAAAATGTGGAAACGAAAGACGAAAAAAAAAAAAAAAGAAAAAAAATATATAGAAACTATACGTGTAACTTGTAGATAACGAAATAAAGGAAAGCAAATTTCGAAATTGGATTATTCGTATTATGCATTTGGATGTACATTCGTGCGCTAAAGTCTGTAATTTCTTGGTCGAATTATTGAAGTAATATCAACGTAAGCTGGGTGAAACGCACAAGCAAATTATCGACGTCGGCATTCCACTTTTTAAATCGGGGGTACCTGCTACACAAGAGTGTGCCAAAGCTAAGTGTGTCAAAGAAAAAAAACAACCGTTCTCCCCTTCCCTCGGTAAGGAAGTGATAGGACTTTCTTTCGGGACAGCTTACGCTGACATTGCTCGCCATCTGTGTCGATCCGTCTACCACATTTCTCCGCATTTAAACCACGTTCATACATGCATCAAACGCGTGACGATCACGTGTGAGTCGCGCTTACATTCGTATATCTACGGTCTGCGCCCGCGCAAACTCAACAACGTTTCCTACCACCATCGACCGTGCCACGATATCGAGTCTTCTCGCTCCCTCGTATTTCCCCTGACTTCCTTTCCCCTCTTTTCACCATCACTCCCCCTCCCCCCCTTTCACTTCACCTTTCTCCACCGTTTTCCGCTTTCTCTTGGCTACTCTCTTCCGTACTCTTCCGCGATTTGGTCTGCTCTGTTCAGTGTCCCCGAGTTCGTTCGTCCTCGTATCGCTCTCAAAGCCCATTAACGTACAACTACGTCCTTTTTATTCTTTTTTTGCTCGTTTTCATTAACACCAATCGATATTAATTCGAGTTTTCGTTATCATTCCTCTGTGACGAATTCTACACGTGTGTGACTACAGTAGGGTCTTCCTCTCTCTCTCCAACCGCGGGAAAGTATTTCTTTTTTCCTTATTTTTTTTTTTTTTGATGAGCTCAATCGCTTCACAGTCACGACAGCGTTTCTATCGCATTGAAGAGAAACACGTCGAATCAAGTAAGAAACTCCATTATCATCGTTATCACCATTGCCGATCGATTTAATAGTATCAAATATCAGGTAGATTATAAACGATCAGTGCATGTTACAATTACGTATGATTTAAATCACTTGTTCATGTATAATAATGTAATTTTATTAATGGCAAGATATTTTCGCATGTTTTTAGCATTAATTAATAATAATTAAATTATGTGTAAGAGTGAAAAAAAAAAAAAGAAATGAAACGAGAGACAATCTATGCATGACTAAAAATGACTGCAAAAGATACAGTGTATCTCTGTTAACTTAGGAGCAGACGATATGTATCCCATGCTTGTGACGAAATTGATACGATTAGTTTATCACTATAAGTATATTTCAGAAATAGTCTTTGACCGATCATGGAAACGTTATTCATCTCCGTATAATTTAATTGGCAGAGTGGCACTGTACTGTATTCTACAAATATTATGAATTTTTTGTTCTCATAATCATTGTGGACAGGTACGTGCTGATACGATAGAAAGTATATTATTTCGAATTGATTTATTTCTTTGATTCTAACTCTGCTGTTTCCCTCACTTTTTCATTACGTTCAGTCTTTTTGGATATCTCTCTTTTTTTACAACACTTTATTTATGCAAAACATGGAAAAGATCGTAAAACGGTATTGAATGTTGGAATGAAATATTTAAAAATTATATGTATTTTAATAATATCTATTATTATTAAATACACATAGTTATTAAAATTATTATTTTCGGGTCACATAAATCTAAGAATTTTATAATCTAATAAAAATAATATGTAATTCTGTTCACAAATTGTTTTTCTGTAAAACATACTTTTTTGAGTTATATTACATTCGGTACACATATGCAATATGATCGTCATCGTGTCTTTAAAGTAAAACATACATTTGGTACACATATGCAATATGATCGTCATCGTGTCTTTAAAATAAAACATACTGTCGCAATGTTCACGGTTTTATCAATAGAATTCGCTGATTTGACAAATCTCCATGTCGAAAGATTTTATTATGGATTATAATTGAAACAGAAATTTGAAAATTCCAACATCTTTACGAAAATACGAGAAACTGTTCTCATAACTAAATCCAGCATGATCTTGAATAACTTTTATACACTATGAACAGAAGATAAAAATTAGTTGTCATTAATTAATAGTTATTAATCGATAATTAATTTGAACCAATACAATAGAGCTTTCCATGTCCAAATCACTGTTGTCGAAACACTCTAATGATAAAGTGTTTAGAAATAGAAATTAGCTCGTTAATGCTGAGATATGTGAGCTCATAATTTTAATAACTTTATCAGCTTATTCTTATCTCCTGTTATTCAAATAAATAAAAAAGTACGATATGAAGTGAATAGTAAGCTTAAACAAGTAGATAAACGAGGTTCCGGAATCACAGAATACTTACTTAGTTAGAATAAATGCCTTTTCACGTGCAAAATTATTTTATATGTACTATTATATAATATTTCACGTGTTTTACAAAACAACTTACCAAAACATAAAATACGAGATATTACTAAAACGTGGAACGTAGAAAAGATTATGTTTAATTCCATGAAAAGTCATACAGGATTTCATTTACGAGTGACGAAACTATCATAACATAATTTTTCTAAATAATAAGAATGTCTGAAACGAAAGATCATTTCAAGCACAATTAGGGGACATATTATACTCGTGTCGAAAAAGCTAGGTATTTCGGTTATATGTTAGTATATTCTATTGTAAATGGCGGTTGTTTTGTTATCAGAAAATCCCATTAACCGAATTTATTGTTAGTTCAGGTACGAGAGGCTTTACTGTACTAATTTTATCCAGCCACCGCAAAGCGTTACGTCGTGGATAAACGCCGAGACAAACGTACAACTATGAGTAATATTCATTACAAATTCATTAAAAACTAAGGCGTTGCATTGACGCAGTTTCGTTCGCAATTATACTTTAATCACGTAATAATGTAAAATGGTAGTACAATAATGATTAGGTAGTACAAATATTGAATACAAAATGGCTTTCTTGCCACTTTTCATTTTAGTCAATGTTGACTCTCGCATTAAAACTTGCAACTGTCGAGATTTTATCAATTGTTATCAACAGTCGTTATTCGCTTTTCAGATTCTAGCGTTGATTTTTCGTGGAACTAATTTTCCGTGGATTCGTCATTTACAGCTGATTGTTCGATAACATACCATCGTAGATATGCTTTCCCAGCGTCGTTGATCTGGGAACTTTCATTTCGATCAACACACTACCTGAATCATCATTATCGTTCAGTACAATAACAGACTAACATATATTGCAAATAGTGCAAATGTGCTCGATTTTTTAAAACATCCTTATTGGACATTCAAAATAGATTACTCAGGAAAACAAGACGAATTACGTCAATATTCCTTCAAGCTTTATACATACGTAAGATATATTTGCAAGTTAAATGACTGAAGTTATATAAAAGAGTTTTAATCAATATTTTTTTAATTTATTTTTATAATTAGCTGTAAGAAATATTTCAAAATATTATATTCAGAAATTTATGTTCTATTTAAAGTGCTATTAAATGCAAGGAAACAGAAATTTTATATGTTTTATTTAAGATCGTATTTTAAATAGAAAAACTAGAAATTTTATTAAAAATATCATTGTTGTATTAAAAATACCATTAAATCGCTTTTTAAAATACTCTATTTCTATAAAATATTTAAATAAATAGTTAAATATTTAAATCGTACGACTTCTAATATTTTAAATGATCTTTGAAATTATGATTAGTGAATTCTGCTCGTATATGTATGTTATGCAATATAAGTTAGTGAATAAAAGGTATTAATGCTAATACCTTTATTTTTCATCTCTCATAATTCATAAATATGCTTCTTTTGCTTCATTTGTAGTTGCTTTTCTCGTTTCTTAGATTAATACTATGATTAGAAGAAATTTTACTTTTTTCAATTTTATTTCTCTGTCCTTATTAAATCAATCTTTTTCCTTATCTTTTCCGCTATTTGTACATTATAACAAAGTAATTAAAAAAAGATTCTATAAAAAATCTATGACGAAATGATCTATCAACGAGTTCGTTCCTTTGTGCTTTTTAAAGAATATCTAGATATGTTATATTAACTTAGTTTGTTAAAATTACTAAACATAAATGCTAAACATTTATCCTTTACATTTGCTTGTAAATTTACTTTGAAATTATTTTCAGCGATTGTGTGTACTTGTCATATTTTCAAAAATTATAAAATATAAAAATTTTCGCAATACTTGTATAATATTATAGAATCGTATATTATAAAATATAACGATGCATGCGCGTATGCATACAAATTTGCATGTGCGCATGCATATGTAAAAAATGTATTATGTATATGTATAATGAAATGTATGTAAAATAGATGTTTTGAAAAACATTTTAAAATGTTAGACGATGAATGTTAAAAATAGTTTTCTTTTTTTTTGTTTTTTTTTAACGTCGGATGATCGAGGGCTAAAGTCAAGGCCTCTGAATTTCTTAAACCGACCAATGATTCGTATCATCGTAAAATACGCGATTGCGTGAGGAAGGAGAAACGAATGAAAACTCGTAGGAAGAAACGATATACGGTTACTAGTGAATGATAGATGCGTGTAACTGTTCGAAGATAATCGTTGTCTCTAATCATTTGTCTCTCTAAAATTTCAAATAACGAACGAAAGTCGAACGTTTGAAATTTCGTTTCAGGATGACGTTGACGTATTTGGAGAAAACGTTATTGACTATATTGGCAGTGATTGGTCTACGAATTTTATTTCAACTGAGTGTTCTCGTGTGGAGGAAATTAATCGCACCCAATCTCGGTTTGGCTATCGATCTGACAAAGCAAGGTAAATGGGCAGTGGTCACTGGTTCCACCAGTGGCATTGGCAAAGAGTTCGCGAAACAGTTGGCGAAACAGGGCTTGAACATTGTGCTGGTTTCGCAATCTCAAACGAAGCTCGAGGAGACCGCAGATGAGATCAAACAGAAATATAATGTTGAGGTTCGTATCGTGCAGGCGAACTTGACCGAGGGACAAGCGGTTTATTCGAGAATTGCCAAAGCCGCCGAAGAACTTGAGGTATTGTTCTGTTTTCCTGTGTTCATTTTTATTACGTCGTTCGCTCGTTCGTCTATTTGTCCATTCCTCTATTCATTTATGCATTTATCTGTTTATACAAAAAGCGTTGTAAACTGTTCCTTTCTCGAAACCATCGCGAAGTACTTGAAATTTTCACACATTCCGCGAGCGAGTGATATCTCAAGAGTTACAAGTTAAATTTTGTGAATGTGAATTACTCGCTCCGTACTTTTTTTTTAAATGGATTGGCATGTTCACGCTTAAACGACCGGCTACAACTATCAAAAATAAAAAAATTAATTCATATCGGCGAAGTCGTTCGGTTATACGCTTGGAAGACCAAAACTAGAAAGCTAGTAAGAGATAATTTAGGATACACTTATTTGATAAAGATGTCGACGTAATAAGTGTAATATTATGGCAAAATGCAGTGCCAGATTATTTTTGCTATCAAAGCTAACACTTTTCATTTGAAATATTCTTTTCTTATTCTGCATAGTTTCATAAAACTTTCATAAGCAATATAAAGTATAAAATATTTTAAAATATTTAAATAATATTATAATAAGATTTAAATAATATTTAAAATATAAAATATTCTTCTCGAGAGTAACTACAGAAGGATATTTTTCTTTCATTTTCCTAAGTTTTTGTTATTTACTTTTCTCTTATCACTATGTATTTCCATATTGCTTCTAATTACATTCTTACGTACGAACGTTCCTTTCTTGTTCCTCGTATTTTCTTACGTAACGATACACGATGTACGTGTACCTCAAAAGATCGAAATAAAATAGAAGCTACCTAATTCAAAAAGAAAAAAAAACTACCTAAATCAGTCGATCGAAAATTAACGTAACTCATTTTAAAAAAGTTGGGAGTGACACTCTTACGAAACCTCATCCTCGTAACTATTTTATATTTTAAATATTATTATTGCAATATTATATTAAATATTAATATTATTTATAGTCTTAAATGATAAGCTCTCCCTTCTACGCTTTATTTGAGACACAAAAGACTTTAAATTAACGCATTACCTTTGTCAATTGTGGAATCCCATAAAATCGCGTCAGTATGAGATGTTGAATTTTTTTTCAAAATTGTCGCTCAATCTTTTAATCGTAATTCATTTTTAACAGATCGCTGTGGTGATCAACAATGCCGGGGCCAGTTACGAACATCCAGATTTATTTAACAGCATCCCGGAGGAGAGTTTGACGAAAATTCTGCAGCTGAATGTTATGGCGGTGACGGGGGTTGCAAGAGCTCTTCTCCCTCAAATGTTCCAGCGTAAAAAGGGTGTTTTGATAAATATCAGTTCGATATTAGCAGTCATACCAGCGCCTTATTTAACTGGGTACGCTGCCAGCAAAGCCTATGTCATCAAACTTAGCCATGACTTGGCCGCAGAAGCAGAACCGCACGGTGTTACCGTCCAATGCATTATTCCTGGCTTAGTCGCGACGAAGATGTCAAAGATCAAGTGAGTTCAATAGAACCACGTGTACGTTTTATTTGCATTATACATATTTATTCCGAAGGATGCTTGTCATCGTCAAACGATCAAATGCAATTAAACGCGTAATTATTACGCAGGCAGTTTTTAAATTTATTTCAGCAAAAAGTATAACTGAAACGATAGCGAAAATTTGTCGGCAATTTACATGATTACAACTTGATAATTAAAAAAGGAAGAAAAAAATCATACAAAAAATTCATCTGACTTTTTGAAGCGTCATTTTGAAACGTAAAGCTCGATAAGTTGAATAATATCGTACAGCAAGTCCGTGTAAAAAGACATTCGAATTTTTACGATTTTCGAGGAAAAAAAAAAGTATCCTCACTTTTCTACTCGTCGCACAATGTAACATTATTTTTGAAAAAAAAAAAAAAAAAGAGAACGAATTCAGGGTTGTGAAACTAGAGGATTCGCTGTACAACAATGGATTGTTATATAATTGTTTCTTTCTTACGTTTTAAAATCCATGATTTTATGAGTATTTTTAAACTATATGTTAGTATTCTTAATTATGAGCTTTTCACTTAAAACCTATGATTTTTTTACGAGTATTTTTAAACTATATTTTAGTATTTTAACTACGAGCGTTTCACTGTATAATATACATGTATATATTACACACACACATATATATATTTTTAGGAAACCAACTTGGATGGCACCATCGCCGGAAACATTCGTAAAATCTACGTTGAAAACGATCGGCATCGAAACGTGTACAACTGGCTATTTGCCTCATTTCTTATTAACTGCCATTGTACATAGCTTGCAATACGTCTGCGAGAGAGGTGCGCTCTGGTTAATTTCAAAAACCTTGTGTAATATAAGAAATCGTGCTCTGAAGAAAAGCAGAAGAGAAGAAAACGGTACGTCAAAATAAGAGGTATCGATCCGATCTTCATCTTTCTCTCACTTTCCACTTTCCTTCTCTCTCCGCTCCTTTCCCAATTCATGTCCTTTTCCTCCTTGTACAACTACAGATCTCTCTTTTCGTTTTCTAATTTTTGCCTTTCTTTTAGTCGCCACGTAAGAAACATTAACTGGTTAATCGTAAATCTTTTCTCATTTAATGATACGGGGCACAACTGATGAAAAAATATGCACAATAATGAAAATATCGGATATTTCTTCTTGAACGTACATACAGTATGAAATTGAACATCATAAAATTCAATTATTCCACTAAATTTTTTTCTTTTTATGTATATATATAATTTTTTATATATATATATATATATATGTCTGCTATTTATAACTCGTTATATAAGTGAATAAAAAATGTGACAGTTTTCCTTTTCCTTTTTACTTTTTTCTTTTTTTTTTTTGTCGAACTATGTTCTTTTATATATGTACATGTCAAACAATATGTATTTGCCTTATAAATTTATAATTTAATTTCGATAACAATAATAATGAAGGAGAGAACATCTGTCCTTTTAATCATAAGAGATCTCTTCCAAAGTTGAGTACCTATTTGTTGTAATAGTCTTTTACAACATAATGATAATTTATTATGATTACAGTTGTTGTTAGAAGAAATTAATTTATTATAATTAGTAATAAATTGATAATCTATTGAACTAATTGAAAAAACAGACTGTGATTTGTACTTATAAATACATATAGTACATTAAGCGTTCTAATATATTATATTATAACTATAATGTTAAGAATTCAAACTTCTCGATTTATTCGTTGGGCAACTCAGAAATAATAGTTCGTCTATTAAATCATTCGAACATTTTATATATTTCTTATGTCATTGAAAATAAAGGAAATTATATTAGAATACTCTTATTTATTACAAAAGACCAAAAAAAGATTATTTTTCAGAAGATGTAACAAAAAATGAATGTAAGTATAGCCACATAAGTATAGGGATGCGAATTTTTATATTAATTTTCGACAATTCATTTCACGATAAAGAAACAAGGAAAATAGTCGGATTTTGTTATTCGAAAATTATTATTTAATATTAAAAACGAAGAATAGCATAAATATATCACCACTGACTAGCAATAAGAATTGTGAGATATTGTGCCCGAAACAATTTACTGCGTCTTAGTCTCAGATTTCAAAATACCGACCAAAAAAAGCTTAGACTATTTCTTGCACCACCCACGATTTGGTACGACAAATATAGAAAATGTTCAAATCACAGCTCAAACCATTACACTGAAATTTAGACAACGATTCAACACCTTCAAATTGAACCATACAAAATTCAAATCTCTTCGATACAAAACATAATATAATAGAAATAACAAATTGAATATATAATTTAGATGGAATAAGAATAATTCAATATAAATATAATAATATATTATTATTATTGTAACAATTATATCTTCTTTTAAATTTTTAAACCAACATATAACTCTATTCAATCTTATTCAAGAAATAAGCACGCAACAATCACTTAGGTGTACACGTAAGAACCAATTAGTTAATCATAAAATTAAACAAAATTAAATGAAAGAGAATCTCAAGGATAATCATGAACATTCTTGAAAAGCAACAAACGATAATACGTATTAGAACAGTAAAAACCATAAAACGTACTAGAACGATTGATTACCTATCGATAGACAAAACATTGAACGATGTACAAACAATGGAAGAAAAATTGATAAAGAATTTGTCTTTGAAACTAACTAAATCACTCGGTCATCAATGATACGAAAATAAATTCTTGGAAATCGCTAAATGTGACTTCTCTATCACAGTAATTAAAAATTTGATATATTTAAAGATTTTCTTTATTCTTCTTCGGAAAGGACTTTACGTCGGTGATTGAAATTCTGTATCAGGTTCTTCTGATACTGAGACTTCTCGAAATATAATTAAACAGGAATATCCCGTGAACAAGAAGGAATTTCTGGCTGAGAAAACGAACACAGTATCAGGAGAACATGAGAATCGACTAGGTAGCACGACAAGGCACAAAGTAGAACGGTTCTTCTGATACAGTAGCATTTCTAAAAAAATTTAAGTGGGATTATATCGTGAACAAGAATGCTCTTCTCGCAAAAATTTCGAATTTAGAATCAGGAGCATATGACCATCAAAGAGGTGGCACGAAAAGGACAAGCCTCCAGCGGGTATCCTGACACAGATTAACCGAAAAAAAATCCAAGCAGGAATACATCGAGAAACAGACAAAATTTCTAGATAAAAATTAGAATTTTGTACCAGGAGCATATGACCATCGAACAGGTGGCACGATAATGCCCAGCCAACTACGGTTCTCCTGATACACAGATGAATCGAAATAAAATCCAAGCGGGAATAAATCGAGAAACAGACAAAATTTCAAGCTAAAAATACGAATTTTGTATCAGGAGTACATGACCATCGAAGAGGTGGCACTACAAGGCGGCACCAACTACGGTTCTCCTGATACACAGATTAATTGAAACCAAATCCAATCGAGAATAAACCGAGAAACAGACAAAATTTCTCGCAAGTTTCGAGATTTGTATTAGGAGCACATGACCACCGAAGAGGAGGCACTATAAGACTCCGCCTACTACGGTTGTCCTGATACATGGATTAATCGAAGTAAAATACCAGCGGGAATAAATCGAGAACCAGAACAAATTTCTCGTTCAAGTTTCGAGATTTGTATTAGGAGCATATGACCATTGAAGAGGTGGCACTACAAGACAACGCCTTCTACGGTTCTCCTGATACACAGATTAATTGAAATAAAATCCAAACGGGAATATACGAGAAACAGACAAGATTTCTCGCTCAAATTTCCTGATATTTATTAGAAGAACATGACCATGGAAGAGGTGGCACTATAAAGCTCCGCCTGCTACGGTTCCCCTGGTACATGGACTAATCGAAATAAAGTACAAACGGGAATAAATCAAGAACCAGAAAAGATCTCTCGTTCAAGTTACGAGATCTGTATTAGGAAAACATGACCACCGAAGAGGTGGCACTATATAGATCCGCCTGCTACGGTTCTCCTTATACATGGATTTATCGAAATAGAATGCAAGTGGGAATAAATCGAGAACCAGAACAAACTTCTCGTTCAAGTTTTGAGATTAGTATTAGGAGCACATGACCATCGAAGAGGTGGCATTATAAGCTTCCGCCTACTACGGTTCTCCCGATACACGGATTAATCGAAATAAAATACAAGCGGGAATATATCGAGAACCAGACAAAATTTCTTGCTCAAGTTTTGAGACTTGTATTAGGAGCACATGACAATTGAAGAGGTGGCACTATAAGGATCCGTCTACTCCGGTTCACCCGATACACGGATTAATCGAATTAAAATACAAGCGGTAGTAAATCGAGAACCGGACAAAGTTACTTGCTCAAGTTTCGAGATTTGTATTAGGAGCACATGACCATCGAAGAGGTGGCACTATAAAGATCCGACTGCTACGGTTCTCCTTATACATGGATTTATCGAAAGAGAATGCAAGTGGGAATAAATCGAGAACCAGAACAAATTTCTCTTTCAAGATATGAGAGTAGTATTAGGAGCACATGACCATCGAAGAGGTGGCATTATAAGACTCCGCCTACTACGGTTCTCCTGATACACGGATTAATCGAAATAAAATGCAATCGGTAATAAATCGAGAATCAGACAAAATTCCTCGTTCAAGTTTCGAGATTTGTATTAGGAGCACATGACCAT